AAGCTTTAGCTAGTACCACATTTAGCTAATTATTATTAAATCATTTATTTTCAAAATCAAAATTTCTTATATCATCTACCTGTTTAGCCGTTAAACGTTCCGTTTTTGCAATTTCTTCCAATGCTTCCTACGCTTACACACATCAAATAATTTCGTATTCATTGAAAAAAATATTACGCCTCATTGTCTTCTCAACATGTCTTCTCTTCTAAAGGAAGTGTGTATATTGTTTGTTTATGACAATTGCTGAATAATTGTTGATGTCAAAAGAACCCAAATTAATATTAATTAGCGATCTGAAGGAACGATACATTATTGAATGACGCATTCCGTTGAAAGGCGCCCAACAGGGAATTGTATGTGTTAAAGGTAAGAGGTAGTGCTATTGAAACAACATAAGTGACTATCGGTAATGTAACGCTCTTTAACTGTCATAGAACCGTGCTGTAAGGACGTATGTATTGATGGATGAATGAATGAAATGAAATGAATGAATGAATGAAATGAAATGAATGAATGAAATGAAATGAAATGAAATGAATGAATGAAATGAAATGAATGGATGAATGAATGAGTGAGTGAATGGATGAATGAATGAATTGAAATGAAATAAATGGGATGATAGAATGGATAGATGGGTGGATGGAAGAGGAAATTATGATAGCTTAGTGAAAGGGATCTGAAGTGAATGTATACGTCATGGGCGATGTATATACATTTGTCGTATATTTCAAAAGCCTGCGGTGTCTTGTTGGAAGCACTCTTGCCTGACGCTTTTTTGCTCCACTTCTTATCTCCCCTTCATTTTTCTTCCCCTTTCTCTCTCTCTCTCTCTCTCTTTCTCTTCGAATATCAGAAATTTATAGAAAATTAGCAAAAGGGCGAAAAAAGTGGAAAAGGTGAAAGACAATTGTTATGGAATGTTGTAAAGTATCAAATGAAGGTTTAAAATGAATTCGATTACTTTACAAGGAAGTAAAAAAATTTTTCAAAATTTCCAACGAAACAAACAATTTGAAAATTCTGCTGTATGTGTTAATAGCAAGAATCAAATCAGAAATCAACCTATTCTAAACTTATCGCCACTCATATCATATTACATTCTTGAAATTTTTTCGTTAATTCGAATAAATAGTAATTCACAAATAAGTTTTTAAAAAAATATTTAAAAGATAGCTTTCTAAAATCATTTTTCATTTAAGGATTGGGTATGCCGAATTATTTCAACGATCAACACCACGAAACTTTTCAAACGATTTCATATGTCTCCTGATCGATGTGTATCTCTGATTAATTATCAGAGAGATGATGGTGTGTGGTAGATGATCAGGAAAAAAAAAAGAATTTCGATAGTTATTATGTTCATTTTATTGCCACTATGAAGTCAATAATCAATAAAACAGATAACAGTGGTAATGATGATAGTGATGATAATAATGATAACAATGACAAAGGAAACAAGTAATATTATATTGTTGAATGAATTTATTTCATGCATATTTGCATATATATTTATATCGAGAAAGATAAATGAAAACATGTTTTAATTATTATGTGATGAGAAAATGTCTGGAAATATGTAGAAATTAACAAAAGAATTATGCAATCAATCAATTTGAAACATTTGGAAATTTTAATTAAATTCTTAAATTAAACTGAGAAATGAATTCATCAAATTATAAACAGTAAACATTTGAGTCATTATTTTTTGTTACAAAGGAATATCTCAGAATTTTACATTACATGATACTATGAGCACGGAATTTTTCTTTTTCTTTTACTGTAAAATTGAACAGAAAGAAGATGAATTTCTGATTGGAAGAATCTTATGCCACTGTTATTGCTATTGTTGAAAAATGAGCTGTGACATTCTTTACTTTCTGTTGTTTTTACTGTTGAATATTCTACAGTATGCAATCTTAATTTACCTCAAGAAGAATTTGCAGTCATTAAAAATGACAATAAAAAATAAAATTTGATTTGAAAATATTATTTAAAAAAAGGAGGAAAGCTTTTGTCGATATTTTCCATTCATTAACAATATATTAACAGCAAATGCTGCTCAGTTACTATGCAAGAAAAACAGTTCGAAGTCTTTTGTGGAAGTTATTTTGTTCTTAGTATAAAATCTAAAAACTTCTACCATTGTTTCAGAATATAGCAATTCAAAAGTGAACCGTTCTACCGGATAATTCCCAGTTATTGTGTCTCCAGTATCGGTGTATCTATCTATCGGTATATTTAGGATACACTTTATCAGGCGAATTAGAGAAGTTCTGTTTATTGCTCAAGATTAAAATTAAAAAGAGGAATTGTATTTTTACGCAACGTTTATAGATTGGAACTTGTTATATCAAAAATACATAACCAATCAAGACCGAGGAAAATCAATAGATCGTGAATGATATCGGGAGATTTGAAACGATATAAAAAATACAAAAGTTATATAGTCTACAATTTTAAATTTTTCGAAATATTTGTTAGACTCCTCCAGCTAAATTTACCAGTACTTTTAACAAATAAACAAACTTTGTATGTTAAGAGCAAAATTGAAATCCAGAGAAACATTTGGAATAGCAAGTAAAACAGCGATCCTCAAACACTTGCCGGATGATTTTTTGCAAATGATTTCATTTCATTTTAGAGGACATGAATAACATTTGGCAGTAGAGAAACTAAACAGCTCTATTTTGTTTTGAATCAATCACCGATACAGAGAATACTACTTTTCTTCAAACTATCTGTTATATTTTACTCTCGAATAGTTCGAAATTATTTTGGAGTTAGTAATGATTAATAATTGGGACAAAGATTGCAAAAACAAAAGATACGGAAGAAGACAAAAACAATTTTCGTTATCAACAAAAACCGATAATATCAGTTAAAGTTAATCTCATCAAACGAATTCTTAACTATCTCATTTTTAAATAAAAATGCTACAATACTATCTTGCATTTTCCAGAACAGATATTTCGAAAATTCGATTGGTCTCTTAAACTTCGAAAAATTGCAATAAAATCAAAAAAAAGAAAAACGGAGACCGTAAGAGGAACAAGAACCTGCTTGGTATAAACAATGAATGTTTAATGCAAGAAACTGAGATCTGAGTTATAATTAATAAGAGAAGCAAAAAAACAGAATGTTATCTAAAGAGTGTACTTAGAAAAAATTCAATAATCGATTCATTGACCAAAAGTGGCATTACTCCTTCATAAGCTTTTCGGATTGAGGGAATACAGAAATTGTTTTGTGGTTGATTCGGCTTTTATGGTTTGCCTTTCCAGAAAAACAAATTTGATTAATTCCTGTTTATTATTTACGAAATGGGAAATTTTAGATTAGAGCTATTTTTGATCAAAAACCATTTGTACATTCAATTTAATGCATCATATTCTTGTCAAATATTTTTTTCTGCTACAAAATATTTTTTCCAATTTTCTTTCTGTACAAAATCTATATTTTATATATTACTGTATCATTTATTTCTCCATTATCTTCCTAATTCCTTTCTTGTTTCAGTAACTTTAAGGATTGCAGGTAATTCAGATAAAGTATGATCCTTCAGTTTTATTTCTGCCAGATATTTAAAATGAAAACTTTTATATAAATAACAGAAACAACTATGATTAATCTTAATAACAATATCGATACTTATATCCATCGGAGAACTACAAGAGAAGAATTAATTTGCCAATATAAATTAATTGAACAATAGAGATCATAATATGAGGCATCAATGAAAGTTTTATAACCAATGAAGATCATGTATCCAGTAATTTAAATTATAAAAAGTGTTCCGCTTGTATTTTCTCGTGCAAAATAGAAAAAGTTTTGGTAATGGGAAATTTTTTTCATTCTATAATTTCGAACTAAGAATATATCTCAAGAAGAGTAAGTTGATCGATTGATTCATTGTAATATCAGAAATAATGTATCGTCTATATCGTTTCCTACTTTTTGAGGTTACATATCACCTTGTCATGACATACATACACACAGTCGATCTCATTATTGGACGCATCAAGGTCGTTCCTTTCTTGCGCTATTGTTATTTCAATCAGCTGTCGTCTCTTGTGTGGACATCAACCGAATGTGATGTTCCGGTCGCTATTTATCCAACTATTTTTCGTAATCTTCATATTTTTATCAAGTAAACCACTTTTTATCAAAATTTATGATATGAAAAAGACGTCAAAATTGATTGTTTACCTAAAAAATATGAATAGCACAAAAATTCATTTTAAGTTAAGTTGAAAAAGAGAAATAAATGATGTCACTTATAGTGGAATTAGTAGTTTTTCGAAGAATATGAAAAGAAATTATTTTAATATAACATTTATCGATCGATTGATTACAAGTAAATCATTCTTACTGCATGGAATAAAGACCATCCCTGGAAAAGAATTTATTCCTGCTTCAGTTTTTATCCTTTTGAAATACGAAAATTTCAGGTCGGTGCTTAGATGTTATTGAAGATACCAATTCAGAGACACCAATTCTACATGAAATTGGTAAGAAACGAAAACTTGAAGATAGCATACCAGTAATTGAAATACGAGGTGAAGGCCAACCGATGACCGCAGCACAAATAAGACAACTTGAAGAAATGTCAAATGGTGGCCCACTTGATATCAAGGTTTTTTGAATGATCAATCTTTTTGGCATGGAAAAATGCATATTTTGAATTCAGAGACACCAATTCTACATGAAATTATCTCAATATGAAATTAGCACATTTTAATTCATAATTCTTTTCATTGCTATTTCTCTCATTACTATCATCTGATTGAAAATTTCTCGTTTGTTTCATGTGTTGATTCATTCATCGATTATCAATGAATGATAAAAGATGAATTATATCAGGTGAATGATTAAAAAATAATAATTTTGCTTTCCTAAATCATCGTACTTTGTATTGACTTGTTTGCAATTTTGTTTACATTTGATCTATTTATCTGAAATTATCAAATTTGTTTATTTGGATTACTTCAGCAATAAATTATTTCAGGTGGAGAAGACATGGCGACCAGTGGACTGTCCACATGCTGCGAAACGTAAAGATTTTATAACTTTTCACTACAAGGCGTTCACTGAAGCTAACAAGAAATGTGATCAGTCGTATGGACGTGAACCAATTCGAATACAACTTGGTGTAGGTATGATAATACCTGGATTAGATAAAGGTATGCGTGGAATGTGCGATACTGAATTGAGGAAAATTCAAGTCCCATATCGGCTAAGTCGGAAAAAGAAAAGCACAGGTAAGCTTAAATGATGAATACCAGTGAATAATTGATTTTGAACTATCATTCTGTGTTCTTTGCTTATTAAAATCAAATTTATTCAATTGAATGCATGAATTTCTTATCGATATCACTAATAACGCTTTATGGAGAAGGCCTTACACTATCATTTCTCAATTTGTACTTATAAAATAAGCTTCCAATCATTATTTCTACTGCATGCGAGCAAAATAATACTTTGCAAATATTGCAGTGAGATGATAGTGACAAATCGATTGTTGCACCACTCTGCTGTTTTGTCTTGCCAAAAACTTTTTATGTCTCATTAATTGGAAATTATCTGATTCGATGACTATCATTAACTGTGTAAAAAGGATGGATTTCGATTGGCATTTGAAATTGTTTCAATTAATATTTAAATACTGTTTCGATTGGTATTTGAAATTGATTTTTCAGTGTGGAGAAATATCCCCAATGACGAGCATTGGCTTACTTTCAACATTGAAATGCTTACAGTTGAGCCATGGTCACTCGATTTGCAATTCAATTTTTTGGATGTCAACAATGACACAGTAATTACTGAAAATGAGGTTTCAACTTAATTAATATTATAAAATCAACGAAAAAATATCATTTCTTTCTCATTTATTGTCAATTTATCATTTCTCAAAAAATCAATAATATCAATTTTCAATCAATCAATAATTTATGCAAGTCGAGGACGAAAGTATCCGTTTTTTTCGTTAAAATCTATTCATAAATATATTTTTATTGAATAAAAAAACTGTTTCGTTGTATAATTAAAATAAGTTCTGCTCGAACTAAATAAAACCAAAAATAATCAGATTCTATTCCGACAAATTTTATTTCTGAACCAAAAGTTCTACATTACTAAGCACTAAAAAATTACTCCTTTTAAAACAATGTTTCAGTTGGTTACATTTCAAGAAAAACTGAAGAAAAATTTTGGCAAAACATGGAGCAATGAAAATATTGACTATACAATTGCTGCCAGATATTACATCAGGCAGGCTGTTCGAATCTTCAATTTTATTTATGGACAAAACTTAAACCAATTCGCGGTTTTGGCTATTCTAATCTTACATTTTACGCCGTATGCAATTGCGGTTACAGTAATTGGATTTGTGAGTAAAATGAAAAATATTTTATAGATATTTTGATGTTGATGGAAATGGACGGATAGATTTAAAGGAATTCTGTCGGGTAATGGAGCGGGATATGGTGGCAATGGCTGCAGCAGCGAGTAATAAAAAGGTAGAAGGTCGAAAACGAGATCCGTCCATTGCTTGGATTCTAGATTTTAACAACGATGGCATTGTTTCTGTCACGGTAGGTTATTTTTTCGCATTACTTCGTAATAAATAATAAATTAAGACCAAAACTAATTACTAATAACTTCTTTTTTCATTGCAGGAAATCGATCAAGCCGATGAAATACTGGAAGGTGAACCAACCGTTCTACCGATATTTACCAAAGATGAGCTTTAGGAATTGATACATCAACTATAAGTAAAATTTGTAACCGAGGCGAAAAAAAATCATGAAATAACATAATTTTTGAGCTATACCGAGAAACTCCGTAACATATTTATGCCTTATTATGCATGCTGTGATATTGCAGAGCATTTGCCATTTCTAGACATTACTCAACTTTATAAATATATTTTGTGAGAATTTCAATCAGAAAAAGAAGCGAAAATTAAACAAAGTGCAAACTTTCGATTTCATTCTAATTTCATTTGTTTTGAAGCTAACTTGGAAGATTTTCCAACATTTTTGTGAAAGAAAATAATCGTAATTTTGTTTGATTTTTTTCCGGAAAGATAAACAAACTGGAAGGTCTTGTAACCTGATTATTTTCTCTCTCTCTTTCTCTCTTTCTCTCTCTCATTACTACTAAGATTAACTCATAAGGAGTATTAACGTTCAGTAATACTTTTATTTATTAAAACTGCAATCAGCATATTAAAAATGAATTCAACAACTAACAGTCGTGTCAAAACAATGGTGAAGAAATCATAAAAAAACAACAATAGCGTCAAATTAGTCAAAATCATTTGGTTTCTCAGCAATAGAGCAAATCAGACTTTTTCTTGCAATTCCTACAAATGTTTTAAAGCTGAAGAAGATTCATCCATGTCCGATTAGTTTACATTTAAACAAAATGGCTTACTGTCAGATATCCAAAAAAGATAATACTATATAATCCCATAGAAATAAATCGAATGTAAAATTGTAAATGATGCCGTTTCTGGAAAGGCAATATCAAATTTACGCCTTACAACAAAAAATTACAGCCCGAATAGTAAATTCTGAATGTTGAATATAGGGCTATAGTTGACGATTAAAATATACAAAAACTAAAAGAGAATAAAAATGACTAAAATTATTTGAGGTAACATCTCTTATGATAATAACTGATAATATCAATTTCATTTGGATTTAAAGAAAATTTGGCCTCTGAATAGTTATTGAGTAGAATAGCTCTTGTTTAGTAGAGAAACTTCAGCAAATAATTTTCAAGAATAATTGGCTTATAAATTATTATGTTTTTTTTGCAAATAAGTTATAATTAATTATCGATTTTTTTGTAAACAATTTTAGAAGAAAGACATTTTGTGTATTGTAAACCATTAAGAATTCTTCCATATTTGAGGATTCTCAACTCTTTCATACGAAAAATTGCTATTTATTTCAAATTTGGTTTATTAAAAATCTTTTAATATAAAAAATTATAGCAAAGAAATGCTATAATGCAATTTTAAAATTAGGAAAAAATGTTCACTTTACTGTATTGATTTTAATATTTGTTACAGTAATTATCATTGATATATTTGAAAATATTAGCGTATAAAAATTTTTAATATATAATTGGAAATTTTTGATTTCTTCTATTATTACTTGTACTAAATTATCTTTTCAATTTCGATTAAAAAATTAAACAAAATACTTTCCTTTCGCCTTATACTATGAAAATTATATCCAGAAATTAACATTGTTCTTTTTTTTGTTTAAATTAAACATTCAATCGGAAATTATGATAAGGTCAAAAAATATTTGATTGATTTCAATCTTTTTGATGAATATATATTTGTCGTAATAAATAGATTTTTTTCCTATAAATATTTCATGAAATTCAATTATCCTTGCATGTTGACAAGGCAGAATAATTAAAATTAAAAAACTCAACCCGTAAATGAAATACTAAATGAAGGATGGATGTCATGTGGTAAAAAAGCTGTCGATGTTTGGAACTTTCACATTCGACGAAGAAGAGCTACTCGACATGCCAAATTCAATGTCCAGTGATGCAAGTGGTGCATGCTTCTCGAATCCTTCAAGAATTATACAATTATCTTGAGTAACCGGCCTAATATCAGTAGCAGAGTTAGTAGTACCAGTGATAGCAACAGTTGCAGTCGGATCAATACTAACAACATTATTGCTATTATTTTCACTGCAGGTGAAATCGCTGGTTCTCGTGAAGTTGGAGGTATTCGCATGATGAAGTGCAGATTGATTTTGTTGTGGAGAATTAACTGGCGAAATTTGTAATGGTAGTGGTTTTATGGTATTCGATAAGTGTATCGAAGGCGGACTATGCAATTCAACAGTCACATCTTGCCTGTAAAATATTACAAGCATTATGAAATGGGCCTGATAAGGCGTTACACCAATTTATGAGTACCAATTAATTGATGGTTAAAATTATGCATTCTTGGGTGAGTCGTAAAAAATTCAAAGCTGCCTTTGTAAAAAGCAGACCAATGAGAAGCAGAATGGTTGCAGTGTTCACTTTTAGACGTACAAGCACGACTATAATCGTGCGTATCCAATACCGAATCATTTTCGATGTCAAAAATACCACAGTAATAACTATCAAGGTATCGTCCATATAATTTCCTATAATTCTTTCCTTCAACAAGAGGTACATTTTATTCTAGAAAATTTAGAGAAATGTCAATGGTATTGGCCTAGATTATTTCTAAATTACTGAATTTCCAGCAATCTCATCGCATTTTTACGTGCTACAAAATTCATAGAATTATGTTGAATTTTAAATAAGATTTGATAGGATTTTAGAATGATTGTATAGGGACTTCTGATAAAGAATTTCAAACAACTTCATTGTTGATTGGATAGAGTTCAATGTATTCTCACTAATCACAAAGCTATCTAATAAATAATCGAAAAAAAAATTTAACCTATTATCAATAGCATCGAGAATCATTTGAGGTATACATGGAGTGGAACAATATTTCCGCTGTTTATTCATCACTACAAATAAGACAGCATATTGGCAAAATGATGTAAACAAATCAATGAGAACATAAATGAATAAATAACTAAAAGGAAAAAAGGAATAAGTAAATTAGTAAATGAATGAGCGAATACAGAAGGAAGTAATTTCTGTAGTAAAACTAAACACAACACCTTTCACGGTTCATATCTGTATACCAATGGATTCTGTAATGGAGTGCACTATTAAATAAAGGGATGTATTTATTGTAACTGCCGAGCTTCAGTATTGATAAGGATGAAAAAAAAAAGACTTACTGGAATCATATCTTGACAACGGTACAGCCTTGTACAGAGGTGTCCATTCACGTATCTCTTCGTCAGTCATTGGTAAACGTTTTCGTACCACATCTTTTTGCAACGAAGAGGTTTTTTTACACGGATTAACTTCGTCTATATTATGAAGTATCTACAATAAACATCGGAAAAACTAAATTTTTTATTGAAGAAAAATTCAGGATATATGCGCATGCGCTATTAATCCATGGATATCTAAATTCTGTTATAGACTTTTCCAGTTGATTTCTAAATTTGTAGAAAAAAAGAAAGAATAACCTGTGTGTTTTTATCTCTGCTTTCGAGACTAATAACACAGGCGACAATAAGAATGAATGAACCAATACTCATTGAAATTGGTCCGAGATACTGCAAACTTTTAAAGAAATACCGCTTGGTCCAATTGGTGGACATTTTATCGGTGCCATTATTCCTATTGTATACAATTTCCTGCAAATTTTTACTTAAATTTAGTAAAATGAATAATAAAATTAATCCTTGTAAACATTGTGAAGTAATCAAAAGGAATGATTTTATTGAATTATTAAAATGTAAGAGAAATTGTTATAATAATTGAATCTGTATAAAACTTCATAATTTGCATAAATATAAGGATATATCGAAAAAAGGTAAAAAAATACAAGCCTGAGATAAATAGATATCAAAATAACCAAGAATGGTCATCAAAATGCCAAAAATAATAATAACACCACCGAAAACAATTGCTCTGCATGCTACCCATAATGTCTGAAGGAAAATTGCTTCATGTTAGTTGCAATTTTATTATTTTCAAATAAATTGTAAACAATTTGTCGAAACAAATTTTCTTTACAAAAAGAAATTAATCATGTACAAAATTTCGGTAGCAAGATTTCAGCTGCGTTTTAGAATTTTTACTAAAACGCATCCATTTTTTATCCAAATAAAATGGAATTAAATTTTTTTCAACTTTACTTAATTTTCTTTCAAATTTGATGAAACTCTAAAAAGATAGCCGACAAACAGTTTTAAATAGTGAATTATTATAGCTAATCTTATGGACAATGATAATGGATTATTAATTTCAACAATCAGTCAAACTTCTATGGTAACATAAATATCATTAAGACGATTCAATTCCTCATTGGATAACTAATGAATTCTACAATGACTATTTATTGTTGTTATAAATGAATCAACTATTTGTCATTGTATAATTTCTTTGAGATTCTTTGAGAATTTCTTTGTCATTACAATTTCTTTGAGATTCCTGAAAGGCATAATGAACTTATATATTGGTTGTAAGTATTCGTAAGAAGAAAATATCCAAAGAAGCAAATGATCATTAAAAATTTACTTTGATAATGTTTGATGGCCACCACTCCATTCATGTTCAAATGTCAAAATGAACTGTGAAGTCCAATTTTTACAAAAATGTGAAAAGTGCACATTTTAAGTTTTGGGGAGGGCATAAGTGAGACAGACGACTATCAGTAATCCATTAATCTTACAAGAGAAAGTGTAAAAACAAATGGATGTGTAATGCATGCAGCAAAGCAGATAATTGAATAAGGCTAATGTTTATAATGTGTTCCTAGACATAATTGAAAAGTCAATTAACTAACTCTTTAAGGAAGAAAAGTATCGAAGGAAAAGGGAAAGTTTCGAATAATGCGCAGAATTATGCCGACTTGCATATGTGCACCTCTTCCTTCTTACCAGCACTTTCTAAATTTAGACAAATTAGGCTCTTTTCAAGCCTAACCACTTTATTAAGTCTTTAAATTTAGCACTGTTATGTAAGGTTCAATATCGAATCTTTAAGCTGCTAACTACTGATAATTTTGATAACATATCTGTATGCAAATTGACTTTCTGCATTTTATATTACGGTCTATAAAAAATCGATTGATTAGATAAATTTTTTGTTATTAGCCAGAACTAAGTTGCAACCATCAAAATAAGCTATTAATACAAAGAATGTGTTTTCATGGATCTTTGTAGTAAATAAAAAATAAAAAAGAAATTGGATGTGATTGAGTGCTGATAAATAAAAATATTTTATATAGGCAAAGCTAACTAAAATGAATTACTAAATCGTTAGATGACAATTTTCAACTTTATCAGAAGACAGAAGGGGCAGAAGAATCTAAAATGTCGTAGAGATCGAAAAGCCAGGAAAGTATAGAATAGAAGTTGACGACTTATTTAAAATGTTATCAGGAATAAGCCAAATTATCTATAGAATTCACAATTTTATTAAAGAAAACTAGAAACAACACACAGTTATTTTAATTCCTCTCCCTACTCATTTCAAGTACACATGCGCGATCACTTTTCAGGCTTGAGTAACAATAAATTCCTGATCACGTCAAAAACCGAGGATTCAGAAATTTTGTGTCCTAATAAAACCAAACCTAAAAAACCTGGGCAACAGAACTAAATCCTCAATTCCTTCTCTTTTAGGCTTTTCAGATCCTTACTTTAATTACATAGGTTGTTTTGTTTTTCTAATTCGCTAACAATCAATTAATTGTTAATAATTTGTTCAATCTAAAAAATTTTGGAAATGTAATTTTCAAAGAGTAGTTCTACCTGTCGATTTTCTTATGTATTAAACATTTCTTGTTCACTTAAAATGTAGCATATGCTACTTATTGATCAACCAACGAGCAAATTCAGCAATCTACCAAATTACACTCATCATCAATTATCAACACATTTCTTCCTGATAATATTACAAGGCAAGAAAATCCCATTTTAATTATATTTTCATACATGGTATCCTTATCAGAATCGTCTTAACGGTGTTTCTCGAACAACAAAAAGTGTACCGAAAATCTCGACTTATTAATTTGATGATATTTGTAGTTTCTGTGACAAAAATTTCGTCGTATGATAGTAACGGTTGGACGATGAACCATCAGCCCTCCTATTGCGGCTGTTGCTGCGTTTTTAAAGTGTTCAGAAGTTGCTCAGAAAATCACTTTTCCGCTGTTGTAATTTTCGGCGAGAATAGCAGAATAGTTGGATTACCACGCAAGCGACACCAGCAACCAGTACTATCCCATACGATCACCATTTATTTGTCTAGATTATATGAACGATATTTTAAAACATTTGAGGTTTATCAGAAAACTTCGATTTTAATATTGGAACATATATGGAAAAGGAATGAAATTATTCGAAATAACAACCGCTTAAAAGTTGAGAGAGAAGTAAATGAGAAGTATAATAGAGAAATCAAAATATCAGTAGATAAAATGGACATGACTAGGATAGCAATATGCTCAGAAATATTTCCCCATCAAAGTAAATTAAACTGACGAGATCTCGAACAAAAACGAAAATTTAACTACTTCAATAAAATATGAAAGATGGGAATCGCAATTACTGGAATGGAATAATAAGAGCAAAAAATTTTTTCGGACATCATAAACTTTAGACTTCAGACAAGGAAAAAAGAATGCGAGAATAGTTGAATAGTTAAATTAATTAAGTGAAGAAATGAATCAAAAATTAAATTCGTCTCACTTTAAACATTCCTTAAACTTATAATTGTTTTCCACTAATTTGTATGAATTACTTTGATAGAAAATTATGTAAATTATGATGTTTTAAATGATTTAAGCCTCTTTTCAGGTGTGATTTCAATTATGCAAGAAGCATAAATATTTATTCGTTATTCTTCATGATAGAGTTAAGTTTTTACATTCTGCAATTTGGTACTTTAAAATTGTTCATTGGTCATTTCTTTCCTTTTATATTAAATAAGATAGAGAGAGAGAGAGAGAGAAGCAGAAAAAGAGTTTTTTCCGGAATTGAAGAGAAGTGAAATATTTTTACACATTGAAATAGCTAATGATAGCTGTCTGTCCCATGGGTTATAGAGAATATTTTCATTTACCATTCACACATTATTAAAATAAAATGTAAATAATGGAGGTGAGGAGATGATGACAAAACAACAAAATATCAGATGAAAGAATAACTACGCTTCCTTTCTCTTTCAACAAAAAAAGATTTCGTCTGTTTGTTGCTTTATTTCATTGCATTGCTTGCAATAACATATGTTTTAAATGAAAATAATCAACGAGGATCGACAAATAATACTATCGCTGATATCAATTGCACGTAATATTAAGTAGTAGTAATTCGAAGAGATACATACTATTGCATTCTGCGATGACGATGTTTAGATGATCTTATGCAAAAGACTGCTTTGGCAAAGCAGTAATGAGTTGAATTGGTGCAAGTTGAGAGTATAAGAAGGAAATGGTGAAGAAAAAGACGAAATCATGAGGATAGAAGAAATTGATGACGCAGTTCGGGCTCGAGGTGACGAAAAACAATCCACTAATCATTGATCACACTGATTAGTTGATTAGTTTAAAACCACATTGAATTGCATCTATAGCTAATAATCGGTCTATCAGTTTCGCCTTAAGCAAAGAATTCAGAGATTATGCATGATATTATTAAGGAATGTGAAATTTTTGACTACTCATTCATCATTTTACCTTTTTTATTACTGTGAGTACACACTGATAAAGTAAGCAAATATAGATTATATAAATCGATCTTTAAGTGAAAATTGATTTTGCAAGATATGCATAATGTAAGATTTCATTAAAATTCATTTATTTCAATGAATATTGATAAGTTCTAAATGTCACTGTGGAAAGTATGAAGAATTTGTGTCTTTCAGCAAGCAAACACTTCACAGAAAACGATGTGAAAATTTTAGTGGCTGTAAATCGATACTGTTTGAAAAATTCAACAAATATTTTCAATTTTAAAATTTTCAATTTCTTTTTAAAATTAGGGGAAAAAAAGAGAAATTTTACATTATCAGTGGTTGAGATTGAGATCCGCAGCCAAAATAAACAAACGAGATTTCTGAAAAAAAGTTCGAAATATGGCACATTTCGAAAGCACTTAACCTGTACAACAAATGGGTAGATGTAAAATGACATTAGCCATCTATAGACCAGACAAACTAACGAGAAGAGGCGAAAGATATTTAGATGGAAATGAAATTAGATTTTTGGCCAATATGTGAAATAGGAAAAAAAATATATTGAAAAAAGGAGGTCTTAATAGAATTTGCTCTGTGTAGACCAAAATTGATGAGTAAACAGGCGGTGAAACATCGAAGCATTTTCTCAGTATGAAAAAGTGTGATAAAAATGGAGGACAAATGGTAGCAACATTTAAGCTAGAAAAATAAATATGTAATAGATGAATATGAGCCTAGAATTGAGTATGCGAAGGCCTAAAATATTTCAAAAGTAAACATCTCTTCCCATCTATCATTTCACTGTAACTAAAACAGCCAGCCTGCGTTAATGAATAGAAGATAATGGGAATAGATGTTACATTTGTTTAATATAATCAAAAAAGAGAAATGATTTTATGCAAAGCAATTGACTATAGATTTGGATAGACTTTAAAGGGTTGAATATTGTTTGTTTGATTATAAAAGATTAAGAAATTCTCTCAAGTTCAAATAAAGAAAGAAATGTTTACAACGATGGAAAGTAAATGGAAGATTTTCTCATTAAAAGAAAAGCATTTGTTGATCTTTCTCTTTTTTTTGTTCAGGAAAAATAATAAATTGTTGTGTGAAAGTTTTGAAATGATAAAAAAGATCCGAATATAATATTCGGATGGTTATAATTTTTTTCAAAGATTTATTAAATTGAACTTTTGAACTCTTTGCTATCAATGAATGTTTATAATATGAAATTAGAGTAATTTATCAGGAAGTGAAGGTACAAAATTCGAAGAAATGCCGTCATTCAACCAAGAGGTAGTATGGAATGTTGGAGTGAAGAGAATACGCGGTAATGAATCAGTCGAAAATACAATCTAGGAATAATCAGATGCAGCAGATCATATGTGAAATAGAATTACATGACAATTAATACTACTCTATCTATCATGCTGGAGAGCCAAATTTTGCTATATTTTGCAAAAAGAAAATGCAAGAAATAGCTTTCATCCGTATCATCACAGTAGGGCTCAGTTTTCATAGTGCTTTAGTTATGGTATGATGTTGCGAAACAATATGAGAGTCACAATGGGAATGGTTTGGAAAGAACAGAGTATGGGATGGTTAGGAGTGTCGGGAGACCGAAATTGCTGTATAACATGAAAATCTTTAAATAATCAATGTATCTTTATGCTCTTGTTATCATGTTAAGAAATTTATTACAAAATGGTCGATGTTTGCTACAATTTTCCGTCATGTAATACGATATGCATTGTTTAACTTTTAGTTTATTACTCTAAAGAATACCGTAAATAACTAACACCAAATAATCCCTTTTTACAATCAATTTCATTTATTATGTGTTCAAGCAACCCCTTGTTAATCATTAGTTTTACTCTCTACTATAGCTAATGATTTATACCAAATGATCTCTTGTTTACCATTAGTTTCATTCTGTTAAATAACCCTATGATGAATTTGTACTGTTAGTTCTACAAGATACCAGTTAACTATTTATTGTAAACAGTGCTCATCGAGCACCGTTCAACTGGAAAGGAATGCTTTTGAATGTAATTAATTTATTGCTCCCAAATCAAGCGATCTAATCCCTACTCTTGATACCTTCATAAACTACTCATATAATATCAGAAAAAATAAACTCATCATCAACCAAGAATAAAATCTCTCCAATGATTTGTCTGCGAAACAACTTGTCAAATCAAAGTTTACGGCAATTCTTTGATGGCACGAGTCAACCAGTGTAATTAAAAGTGTTCAACCAACATTAGAAAAACTCGATCAACTTCCAGAAAAAATAAAGGAATTGGATTTATCTCAATCAGTCAACAATAATCGAAAGAAAAAATATATCAGTTATGTGAAACAAAAAAACGGACTATCAAAGAAAAATTAGTACGAATTGAGCAACATATGAATATTCCTGAACTCATCAGCAACAACTGGCTCGACTATATTTAAACTAGAATGCGTTGAAAAGAAAGGAAGAAGAAATCTAAAAATATGGAAATGGCCGATCAAGAAAACGGTATTTTAAGGCTACTAAGTCAAGGAAGAAAAATCAAAATAACTCCAAAATTATGTAAAAATAACCATGAGTTAGCAATTCATTGCTTACATCCCTGGTACAAAATTCAAGGCCTAAATCATTCACAAGAAATATCTAAAATGGCCCCCATAAATAACAGTAAATCTACCACAGTTGTAATTACCAACATTTAGCGGTGATCCGAAAATGTGGAGGCAATTTTGGAACCATTTCTAAGTCGCAGACTATCTTCTGAGTAGCCCTGACGTTCAGAAGTTGATTTATTTAATGTCCTGCTAAAATAAAAGCAGAAACTCTGCTAGCTGTTAGAGGCTACGATATTGCTCTTCAGAACTATAACAGCATTAGAAGGTTCCTCATTGAAAAATTCGAAGAAGAACCATCGTAAAAAATCCTTATACGCATTACAATCTATCAAACCAAATATGGTTCGGATGGGAAAACAGCAATAATATCAATTGAAGGAATACTTCGATGGCTAGAAGCAATCGGTGAAAATAGAAAGTAAGTTATCTGCTTGGATATTACACAAAATTTATCAACCTTTTGTTGTAATCATGGTCAATAACTAAATCCGACAATTATTAGGAGAACTGTGCAAATAAATGAAGAAGTAGTAAGAAATCAATCCTTCAATGAGGAAAAGAAATCGATAGAATTTAAGCCAAAACTGATTCAGTATGCCACTGAGGGGGAGAATCCAGTCTTAGTCGCCATGAAACAATCCAAATTAAGTGAGCTTGAATCAACCACGTATTCAAAGTTACTAAAGATAATAAGAATAAAAGACTGTGTGAGTTTTGTAACAAGGACAATTGGAATAATGAATGTCATCAGACTTCCCACATTTAAATAACGAATGGAAAGTTTGAAACGAATCAATGCATGCCTTCGAACAGTACATACAACAAATAGTTGTAACAGAAGAAAACGTTTATGTTTCCACTGCAAAAAAATCCACATAGTGCTGCACTGTGTTATGCAAAATATGTTGTACGAACTATCGGATCAAATAAAGAAATGAATTCAACAATTAAACTAATTCAGCACTCAGTTAACGAAAAAAGGGTAAGGAAATTTTACTTTTTTATATAAAGAGATCAAAGTGATTGACCTAAGTATTCCGGAAATTCAAGAAGAAATTTTAGCATTGTTTGACATTAGTTCACAATCATCCTATATATCGAAGAAATTAGCAAATTGATTGAAATGAGGAGGGAAACTAAAGGAGAAAATCTGGAATTCCTTTCATTTAGCAACAAAATTGCGAAATCATGTTGGATATCAAGGTAGAAATCGGAGTAAAAATCTTGGAATCCGAAATTACAACTATTGATACTTCTGTCTTAAATCATCTAATAGATAAACTGCAAGTAATTAAGTCGAATCATCATGATTTACCACGCATGATAAATCGTTAAGAGCAGGCAGATGAGAAAGGAAGATAATGGAAAAAGCTGATATACTTATTGATGTTGATTACTATTCTCCAAATGAAATTCGCATTATGATATCAAGTGAAAGTGGATGCATTAATAAACCTGATAATTATGACGAAGACCAAACCAAATTCAATATAGTCCCTGTTAAAATTAAATCGAAGAAGGTAAACAGTGTGTGTTACTACGATTCCAGAAGTAGATCAATTCTAGAAATTAGAACTCATAAGCACTTAAGAAAACCTAATGTCATAAATGACGAACAGGCATTAAAACAATTCAAAAGAACTGTTTGTTACGAAACAAGATGGATGATATCAAATCTCTTGGCCATGGAAAGAGTCGAAAGTTAGCTTAAAACCTATAGCCTTTGTCTCGGAAGACTGAAAACATTAATTAGACGACTTCAAACCGACGAATTGCTACTTAATCGATAGAATGAAATACTTGAAGAAAAATGCAATCCAATATAATAAAAGAAATGACTCCAGACATGAATCAGGTTGGTATTACTTGCCCCATTATGAGATATTAACACCAGGCAAATCGACAACGAAATTTAGAATTGTTTACAATGCTTCTGCCCGTCTCAAAGATATGGAAAGTTTAAACGATGTTCTATATTACACTTCCCGATTTAGCAGGAGTATTTTAAAATGCTTCGTTTTAAAACGATGGAAAATGTGATAACAGCAATATTGACAAGACATTTTTGCAATTAGAATTACCTCCATAGAGTGAAACTGCACTTGATTCCTTTGGTTGTAGGATATTCAAGGACAGGAACCAAAAAAAATGTAGTATGCTATCGTTTCCAAAGAGTCCCTTTTTTTACAATCAGCTACCCTTAACTATCATGGAAGCGAAATTGCCTTGGAAATCAAAAAAATCTCCACGTTAATAATGTTATATTGACAATGAAAGAAACCCAAAAAGCACTGAAAAATGATGATGAAATCGATCTTCAGTAAAAAGCCTCAATGAATATAAGGGAATTTCTTTCAAGCGACAAAGAATTCAACAAAATTATTATCAAGCATGATCGAGTAGAAATAAGAGGAATTAAGAAAATTCTCGATGTCATTTGGTTCCATATTACTTTAAAAGTTTGGAATGAAAGGGAACTGACGAAAAGAACTATTTTTCATAGCGTCTCAATATGACCTACTGGGATTCCTCGTTGCCATTATAATACAATTCAAATTTACAAAATTTATGAAGGAAGAACTATAGCTTGGGATCAAGCTATAACTGAAAAAGATTAAAAACGTGGGAATCTCTGATAAATGAATGGCCGACAAATGTAAAGGAGCTACCGCAATTTGTAATACACCCGTCAGAGCAAATGCTTTTCACAAATACATCAAATGTGCTTATTCTGCAACTATGGAATTCAAAAAATTAAAACGTCCTTGATATTCACTAAATCCCGAATTGCGCTAATCAAAGGTATCATTATATCCCGATTGGAGTTATTGCAGTATTTACTGGAGCCCATTTTTAATAAATCAGTTAGCAGTAACGCTATAGTCCGAATCCAAGTGCGCACTATACTAGATCCAGAACTATTTCTAACTACTACCAAATTTTTACAAAATCGAGTAGAGGAAATAAAAAAGACAAAATTCTAATTTCGCTACATTCGCAGTAAGTGCAATCCAGTTGATATTGCGATAAAGGGATTCTCTTCAACAAAACGAATTACGAAATATGATGGAAAGGACTATCATCGTTGGAAAAGAAAGAAGCAACTCGGCGCAAGTGGGAAATTAACTTCAACAACATGAAAATGAAAAAAGCGGAATTTTAGCGCAAAATTACAAAAGAAATCATTGCAAACAGAAGTCTTAAACTTATAAATACGAGTCGTTTTAGTAAGTGGTCAAGATTAATAAGGACAACTGCTTAGATTCTTAAGTTCATAAAATTAACAAAGAGAAAAATTCCATAGTTATAATCCTTATCAACGATACAGAGCCTACTTATAACGAATGATTACAAATTGCCATGAAGGTATTGATCAGACAAGCGCAATCAAAGGGAGTAACTGAAGAAGAAATAAGTAGGTGGAATCTATACATAATGATGAAGAATGTTATTGGAAATCCAGAAGTCGACTGGAAAATTCCAAATTGAAGATGAAAAGCAAAACTATTCAAGCTCCCGGTCATGCATAATCTTCCATAAAATTCGAGTCATACGCTCTCGAACATTCACAAAATTGAATTATATGGGTCCTCCTCCTATCAAAATTGATATTGGCATAACTAAAAGATGGATAGCTCTCTTTACATGTTTCACAACGAGAGCAGTGCACTTAGAACTGGTAGAAGTTTCATCTGCCAAAAGTTTTTTGCATACATTAAGAAGATTTATCGCTCGACGAGACTATTCTGAATTAGTTTTGAGTGACAGTGCTAGTCAATTTCAATTAGTTTTCCAGACCATTATGGAACAAAATACACAATTGAGAGATTTCCTAACAAATAAGCGAATGATCTGAAAGGATACCATACCAAGAGTCTCATGATGTGGAGGAATTTATGAGAGAATAATTGGAATAAGCAATGAGAAGTGCTGTTGATAAGAAATTATTAAGGAAGAAGAAACTAATAACTCTAATAGTAGAAATAGAAGGCATACTAAATACAAGGCGACTAATTACGTGAACTTTGAAGATTAGATAATCATACGTCCAATCGATTTCATCTCTCCCAATGCTTTCCCGATCACCTCAACTGCTAACGACGATGATCAAGAAGAATTTTCTTTTCATAAGCTAATACCAAGGAAAGATTTCTAAGGTATTGGTCAAGCACTCTTAAGGTCTTGGACATGTTTTGGGACATATGGAGAAGTATTTAACCAACCTTCGAGAACGAACTCAAAGAGAATACACTTCACCGAGGAATGTAGAAGAAAGAATCCTATGAGGAAAAAATTGTATTGGCCAACTAACCAAAAGTCCCCCACTAACGTAATGGCATGTGGAAATTAGCCTAGATAAAGAAAATTAAAAAAGGAAGAGATGGAGAAGTAAGAAGTGTCTCAATAGAATTGCGACACGGAAGATTCCTTTTTATCATTAACTTCATCTATTGTATGTTCAAGCAATCCTTATTAATCATCAATTTTACCATCTAATGCAAGCGAATATCGCTAAGCATTTATACTCATTGACCTGTTGTTTACCATAATGACCCTATGACCAATTTATATTATTAGTTCTTCTATGATCAAATTGAGATGACCAAATTTAAGATGACTATTTACCGCAAGCAGTGCTCATCGAGCACCGTTCAAGTAGAAAAGAGTGCATCTGAGTATAACTTATTGCTGTCAAATCAAGCGGTCTAATCCTTCCTATTCTTGATGCCTCCTATTACTCGTATAATATCGGGAAGAATAAACTCATCTTCCACCAAGAATAAAATCTCCCCAACAATCTTTGTCTGCGTAACAACAAACTTATCAAATCAAAAAGTTTTACAGCAAAGAGTATTATTGTCTCTTGGCGGGCACATGTTTGTGTTGCAATTAGATATGGACAGAAATAGACTTTAGGTATGCACCGAAGATGTAATCGAAGTGTAGTTGACTCCGCGCGGGAGGCAGAAAAGTTGCATTGGATTTTACTTTTTCTTAATTTCATAAATCATTAGTCATAGGAAGTGCCCATTGTTCAAAGAATTGGATGGAGGGACAGTTATCTGAAGGAGGATTTGATCAGTGAATGATCATTTTTAATATTTCTATTGAAAAATTGGGGTTGTAATGAAAAAGCTACCTATAGCTATTTTATCGATAACGTGTTATGGAAATGGATAAAAATTAAGTACAAATTAAAAGGGAATATTTGAGTAGCTTTACCTCAATATGAATGTACTTCTTGGTTGTAGTTTTGTGTCGACGACTTTTTTCTCGCCTTCGTCTAGCTTGTAAGTAACCGTCTCGATTTCGTAAACTAGAGTCTAAGGCTGCTAGGTTTATTTTTCCCAAACCTAGTGAGACACCACGAGCCGTTCCTAGCATTTGCAACTGCAAAACAGAATCGTTAAATTGAACTTCAAGTACAGCAAATTTCAGATATTCCTCCTGGTGGACTATTTCTGTAGAGTTTTTCCAACAACTGGAATTCGGACAAGAAAGGTTTGCAGCCAAATATAATAAAGTTATTCCATCGAAAATGGCTATTTATTAGAAGATTCGTTGGCTGCTCCATGTGACTCTGCAATCAATAATAAATTCAATAATATAGTATTAAGTAATAGATTCAACCATGCAGTGTATAACTGATCCTGAAAATATCTTTTGAGCAGTTATGCTTGATAGACTAGGATGTTGTGTAACAGACTATATGCTGCAAATGAACTCGTTAAAATATATGTATGAAAGAGGAGTAAAAAACTGGATAAAAGATGAGAGGACGGATTTGATTTGTCAAATAGTTCTCTTTAATGTTGACACTTCTCCCTATAGGATAACATCAGTAAGTTCTAAAGCAAAATTAAGGCCGAAATTGATTGGACCTAGTTAATCTGTTACATGATAAAAATTCCACAATCCTGCTCATATTGGCAGAATTTATAAGGCACGAGTTCTCTCAAAAAGCAAAATATCTTCATGAGATCTTTTAGTAGCGCCCCTTTGTCATAATAACAGTATTGTAATTGAGAATGCGGATATAAGCATTGTCTCAACAATGTTGAAGTACTATAGCTCCAACAAAAAATGGCTTAGCATACAAATTTAAATTGATATCATAATAGCATATACTGATAAAATAAGGGTGATACGTCCTACCAAAACTACAGTTCTGAACAGCATGCATCTTTGCGAATTTGTTTTCGCTCGTTTTTGGACTGTCAGAAATCATTCCGAAAGATTTCGATTTTTTAAATTCAAATCCCGGAGTAAATAAAAATAAATTAGGAACAAATAAAAATATTAGAATAAAGAAAATGAATAAATCAAGTAAACACGTTTCGTACTTTTTGTTTAAAGTTTTTAATACAACCTGGTAATAGGATTAGCTCCAGCTTTTTTACAAACGTCATTAATCAATAAATAACGAAATACGACGTTGTTGAATCACGAAACTATGAATAAATCAAGTAGACACGTTTCGTACTTTTTGTTTAAAGTTTTTAATACAAAATCAGAATTCAGATAAATTTTAGGAACTTCTTTTAGACATAGGAAATATTTAAAACTTATGGGATATTTTCATTCGGATATTAAAGAATTGGTTAAAATGAAAACATTAGATACCTGCTTAATGATATATATATATTAGAGTACGTGAATTTCACTTTTCAGTCAAAACTGAGTAGACATTCACTCGCATAAGTGTTGAATAAATAGAGCGATGAAACATTTAACATATAGAAAGAAAGTAATGAATAAAGTAGTTGTTAAGTTAAGTGATATGGTATGGAGTAATTCTTGATTATATGGGATATAAATAAAAGAGAAGTATTTATTTGGAAGAATGTCAAGAGTAGAAAGTACGTAACATACCTGTAAAAGGATTTTTCGTCATTAATCAATTAACAAATGCTTGTATTTCATATCCAAATATTTGATAACATTTAGAGAATGATTAATTTTATCAATTTTAGGATTTTTGTTATGCTAAAAATTTCGAGATTTTTCTGTTAAGGTAATAAGTTCAATGAGGAAAAAATTAGCGGTTATACCGATTAAATTACACTAACTAAATTTGCAACCTTATCAGTTGTGGCTAACTATACTTTAATTGTTATAATAATTTTCTTTCAGAAATCGTTGCGGAAGAAGGCGCAACACTTAACTTATTTTGCTCTTATTTGACATCTCGTATTTTGATAGAGATATCTTTTAAAAACTATAAAATATTTTGATCTTTGTTGCATTTGTGTTTAGTAGAGCGGGAACATTTGAGACATTATATTCATCTTAAGTTATTCAATTCCTTTTTTCTATTAAAATGTTAAATTTTTTTCACTCTCCAAAGAGATAATAAAATTACTGAATTGCATGAAATTTCCACTATTATAATATAACATTTGCATATTCGAATGGCGCAAATTGAAGAACTCATTTCAATTGTTAGATGCATCTTCTCGCATTATTTTATAGATTTTTCATGAGTAATATGAGTATGAGAATTTTATAGTCGAAAAAGGAGGATGTGCATTTAATGGTAAAACTATTGGCAAGGGAAGAATGAGGTAACTACTATTAATAGAAATAATAAAATTTATAGATGCTTGAAATTTAAATTCAATTCAGTGAAAAATTAAAAAGTGATGTTCTGATCTTTTCGAAAAATAAAAGCAAAAATTTCTAATACTTTCATTTGCTGGCTTTACTTTAATTGTTAAGAAAGCTTCTGTTCCTAGATAAATTGTCATTCTTAAATTCTTCAGCCGAATAATATTGTCCTAATCATAAATTTCCAGAAAAGAGATAAAATTTTCCTTAAATATAGGAAAATGACAAGGCGAGATTATCCTTTTACAACACTATAATTTGCAAACTGTGATCGATAGTTCCAAAATTTATACAGTAATTTATAAGATGCAATCTTGAGGAGTTCATTAACGAAAGTTTTCAAATCAACAAAATTCTCAAATATCCATTTGTACATCAAAGAAGTTCTGCGAATGGAATTATCAGATATGGCAGAGAGAGGGAAATAAAAAAGTCGTGGAACTAGTTATAAATATTTACAATTAAAAGAGAAATTAAATTCAATAATGCAACCTCACCTTGTTTAAGGCACATAGTGAAGAAGATGTAGAAAAATTGAGAATGTAGAAAAATTACAAGGCATATTTACATGGAATGGAATTTATTTGGTATAAGGCAAGTGAAAAGAAAAGTATGTAGTAAGGCTTGGTGAAACTGAATTTTGAATTTATGAGGTGACATGCCTATAGATTGCGTAATGGGTGGTTAGGGACGCTATGTAAGTCTATTGTTCTAGCCAATATTCCCATTCGATGGAGTAGTCCACTGGGCCCAGTTTACCAACTGAATTGGCACACTTTAATAAGATGCTCATATATACACACGCACACATGCATACACATGCACACATATACCGCTCTATAGACAGACGCACACATGCACAGATATATCCACACATAATCATTTACACACAGCTACCGATAAAAAGAGACGTGCAACATAGAGATGATAAAGTAAAGAAAAAGCTAATTTGCATTGCACGATGTGTCACATTCACTGCTCGTGCATTTCATTTCACTTCTCTTCTCAATATATCACACCTACACTTCTCACAATTATTTGTAAGAATATAAAAATCGGTGTTTAGCCCTTCTGGAATGATCTATCAAACAGTTGCAATGATCCATCCATCTCCTCCAATCAATCACCATTAAACTTTTCTAATTACTACTAAATTAATTAGAAAGTTCTCTATTGTATGTGTTACTTTAACAAGTAAAGTTTATTAATCAATTTGTAAATTCATAATTATTATTATCATAAAAATTACATGTCTGTTAATGAAGTAAATGATATAGTTGAATGGATAAATGATGCTAATATAATGCATACAATTAATAGATCGTATTGTTACAGATATAATACGTTAATAAATGGAAACATATAGTAAGACATAAGCATTTGTATTAATAAAAAGTTTAGTATTTGAATAAAATTATACCTTCCAATTTATTGTAAACAGTTGGAATTAATGTTTAAATATTGAAATTAGGAATTTTATTGCTTTTGTATGAATTCAATTTTATTCCACCAAATTATAATCATACAATAACTATAATGTTACTAAAATAGAAATGAAGTATTATTGAAAATTTATGGTAAGAGTAAAATAAAATAAATCATTTGGTTTAAGAAGTTGTCGTTGAGTGAATCGATCATTTTAATGATAACTTACATTCAACTATCAATAAAAAGTCGTTCACTTTAATACATATCATTTCAATGATAGTTTCAGTAAGTTAATAAATCCCGAAGTGGGAATAGATAAGTGCCACTAACAATACATGTTTAAGCCTCTCAAGGAGCTTTTCGTATTACTTTTCTTTTGCTTCCTTCATCTTAGTTGTCCAAGAAGAACAATTTTCTCATAAGATGGTCATTTCAAAATTGAAAAAAAGAGCGTGGAATTTTTGAGCGTTTCTTTGCTAACATTTTTATCCGCCTGTATCATCTTTATATATTATCCGTATCATCGTTATCCATCCTTATATTATATTGGATAATAATCATGCAAAAGGCGATTTCTTATAAAATGTTCGAGTTCGAGCATTATTTTTTTGTTCTTTTTGAAAAGGATGAATATAAAATGCTTTTTTTTATAGACAGTTTTTGATAATTTTATGCAACAATTTGATTTAACAAAAATTTTTTAGAAATTTTACTATAAAATTTTTGCAATAACGAATTAGAAATTAGAAGAGAATATTTAAGGATAGAAAGAATAAAAGGTTAAATGTACGCAAGGCTATACATATATTATGCATAATTTTGCTTTCCATCTTCTACAAAAACATACATTTATATAAATGCATGCATGAATGTTTGAAAAACTTGCAGCCTTTTGCATCATATTGTATGTTGCGATTAATTTTTGTTGATTCTATTCAAAACATATCTTTTATACCATTTAAATAGAAAAAAGAAAAAAAATGGATTATTGTTAAATCTTTCATTCATCGATTTTCTATTAACAAATATCAGATAGATAGAATCAGAAGTCTATAAGAATGATTCCTTTTGATATTTATGAAGTTTTCATGCATGCATTATAGAAAATGTATGTTTTGCAAAAGATGCATAATATATTGCATTGTATACATTTAACAATTACTTTTATTCTTTCTATCCTTAAATATTCTCTTCTAATTTCTAATTCGTTATTGCAAAAATTTTATACTATTGATAAGTCAAATTGTTGCATAAAATTATCAAAAACTGTCTATAGAAAAAAACATTTTATATTCGTTCTTTTCAAGAAGGACAAAATAATACTCGAATTCGAGTATTTTATAAGAAATTGTTTTTTGCATTTCCGACATATTCTTCAGAATCAATGAAGATATATTTTGCTTAAGGCAAACTTTAATTTTATTGAACACTATGTGTTAATTTTTCCCGTAGCATTTAAATGTTGATTGAAATAGCAAAGTAATCGCAGTAAAGATTTTTTCAGAGACAAAACTAACAAATTGTTTTGCATTTCCCATTGGGAGAACAAATCACTGATGCTATCACTATCAATTTATTAACTTTAATAATAAAAGTATTTCTTGTGCGATGATTTTTTTTTAAATATTGATTGATTAATTATTCCTTCCATTGTTCTAAAAAAAGTAGTAATGTTTTTTTTCTTATATAAAATAAAATTTTGCATCAGAAATTAACTAAAACATAAAATATTAATGTAAATTCAAATAATTACGGGCTTATCCAAATCTCATTTTCAATATCAAATGGCTCGAATTATTTTTTGAAATTGATGTATCATTTCTTAGTGCAATCTTGGGATTGATCATTTAAAGTTTTATTTCCATAAAATCCCAAAACTGAGTACTTAAAAAATTGCACGTTTAATTAGTGATGATAACCTGAACATTATTTTTAGAATTATATCAATGTATCATTTACCGTCTATTATTTAGCTAATCAAATGATAATAACACCAATAATTGCTTCTCATTGTATATTATTAATTAATATTTAAAACTTCACTCTATTCAAAACATCAATCTCTTGTCTTTTTTATAATAAAGCAATATTTGTTCAGCAAAGAGAAATATAAAAATGACAAATTGTTAAAATTTTCTGAACCAATTGAAGAGAAAGCAAAAATTGAGGCACAATGGTTACTTCAAAATTGTTCATAATAATTGTTGAGCTATTGGCACAATTATGAGCAGAGAAACACGCGTATGTATCATTACTTTCATAAGGCGTCTGTCAATCGAGAAGCACTTACTTTTTGATTTTTCAATTCCTCCGTGAACATTCTGAAATAACAAATGAACTAAAAAGAAAAACAGATCAAACTTTCAACTCTTACAGCTTTCCTTCCAATTATTCCTTCTCATATAAAAAAGAATTTCGAAATTGCTCATTACATTGTTAAATAAATGAAGTATGTTTAAAAAATGAAGTAATTTTATGTTTTAAAAGAATGGAAGCGAGAAAAATTTACTCATTAAATTTAAAAATATAAAAGAGATTTTTCTCGCTGTCAAGCACTTGCATCTGTTCACATTTCCATATGAAACCACGCTGAAATATTATAATTTTGCAAAACGTTAATGAAATTCTAAAAGAAGATCTTCAAAACTATATAATTTAAATCTTGCATTTCTCAGCTATTAATTATTTATTTAATTAACAGTGCTTCTTTCTGTAATCCAATAAAAATGGAATGCGACTACAGTTTTGATTGAATTGATTTTGAATTTCGGAAAACTGAATAGAAGATTTCACACTATTAACGTTAATTAATTCATTCAATTTTTTTCAATGGTATTTCCATATTATTAAATTTTGATATTACTATTTGAAATTGCTATAAAATCCAATTTATGCATTCATCGATTTCTGTGAATGAAAGTAATTAGATAATATAGGATTCAGAAAATGTGATCAAGTCAAGAACGATCAGAGTTTAAGTTTCAAAAAGTAGAAAAAAGCGATTTAATTGAGTAGCATCAGTAAAACTATTGCTTAGAACAAAGACTACTGTGTGGAAAAAGGTAACAATTACTACTACGTGAAGTGATCATCAATGAAACGAAACAAATACATGAAGAAGACAACACATGGAAAATATGAACATGTAATCTACATTAGACTACATGTATTCGGAATATCTTACTATATCGAAAACATAACAATTAAAGTATGGCCAAATTTAGGTTAATGGGATTTTACAAAGTGAAAAAAACATGAAACATACGTTTTTATTCTTTATTGTGATTTCAATAGTCAGAAGTTCACCGATAGAGACAGCTTCTACTTCAAATGTGCTCGTCTGCAAATTACTTCTTAAGTTAGTCATGTTGAAAATAAACGAGCTTTTAATGCATTAATATAAAAAGAGGGAGAGGAAGGGATAAAAAGTGAAATAGGAAGAGAAAGATGAAGATAAGTAAACAATTCTAAAAATAAATTTAACGAACTTTATTTTGTTGAAATGGATTAATATCATCGTTGATTAGCTTTCGTAAACCTGTATCGCCCTTTGTTCCACTTAATAATAGATAAACATCAAAATTTGCTCTTGATTCACCAGAATTTACAGTGATTATATAAACAACATCTGAAACAAAAAGAATTTTTTTTAATCTTAACAATCTAAAGCAAGTAATTAAGTTAAATATTTTATTTTAAAAGGAACAATTTAAAGTGTTAACAAATTGATAGAACAAAATATTATGAGAAATTAAATTTCAAAGTTAATAAACTTTGAGAGATAGCGAAAAAGTAGAAAATTTAATCAAAAAAGGAAAGAAACAAAAACTTTACATGCAATTCAAATGCTTTATATCAATTAGTAAGAGCTTTATTTGCAACTTACTTGAAATAGGTGGTATATCTGGCCAGACAGCCGGGAATTCATAAACTGATTCCGATGTAAGGATCATATTTACAGCAGGAAATCGAAGTTCATCACCATTTTCAGAATCATAAAGCTTCATCTGAAATAGACAGAATCATTTACGAATTATTAGTTTAAAGTTTGAAGCATTTTAAAGAAGATTAGATGAAAAGGGATGCAATATTATAAAATAATATATTTAATAATCACAAACTTTTTGTATTTCGATAATATTTTCATCGCCAAGTTTAACATTATCTGGTAGATTATAATTGAGACGTTGCGACTTATCGATACCAATTCTTACTTTGATTATCATTGATATATCTGCTGTTTTTTGCTATACAAAAAATTTTAGTTAAAAAAAGGTTAAAGGATAAGTTTAGAAAATGACGAAATTAATTGGATAAATTTCAAGTAAGTGTAAAAATATTTTAACGGAAAGAAAGCAAACAAATTGAAGGATCACCATTATACTCATGATAATTTTAAGTACATATTAAAGCAACCATTTTTCAATGTTGAAACTGATCATAGCTGAATCTGATCAATTCCCATTTTCCTGAACAATTAAGCCCTAATCTAAATTCGCTCATAATCAAAAAAAGTTTTCTTCTTTTAATTTAACTCTAATCTAATAATGAAATTTTATTTACTGTAATGACGAAAAAGTAAAAATCCACCTCGAAACTAATAACCATATCGGTAGGAGTAGTAGTAACGATCGTCATCTCTACACATCTATCTTCTGTACAAAGTACTACTCTTGGCATCAAAGTACTACCTTCACCAATTGTCATCCATAGAATCCATTGAGGTTTCTTTCTTGATAAAGCTTTTTTCTTACTGGCTTTCGTCGAAAGTCCTTCCATTTCTAATTGTTAAATTTGATTAATTTTAATTCCTAAGTTTTGGAATATTTCGTTGTTATCACAAAAAATAGATAATTTACGAAGATTTTTAGAATATTCAGAAAAAGAAGCACCGGAAACTAGAAGTTCCACAAAAACATTTCCCATATCGTCATACATTTCCTCCTTCACTTTATCATTCTCTTCTTCTGAAGTTTTCACGCGATTCAATGCCATTACGTAACGATATGGTGCATGATGTGATTCACGTACGGTAACTTTTTCAGCGATCCAATCACTTGCTATTGCAATATTTCCAATATGTCGTCGATCATAGATATCTTGTAACATTTGCATTCCTTCATATATTTCTTTACCTATAAAGTGTTCATTGAAGAGATTTTCATTGAAAATCAATTTTTTTTAACAATTTTTTCTTTTAAATTGGCTTTACCGTTGCAAATGTCAAAGTTTATATACCATATATTTGAATTGCTGAATATTATTCATCAAAAATTTTTAATTGCAAATTGAGAACAACAAATTTACCAATATCATTCATTTTGACATACAATCGCGTACTTTGTATACGTCCAACGGAAACAGCTTCAGCTTTAAAGGAAACTTCCTAAACAATATGTTCAGAAGAATATTATGAAAATAATGAATAGTAATAATTACCTGCAAGAAAAAGTATGATAATGTTAGTTTCTTAATAAAGATGAACTTTTGATTGCCTGTACAAAATTGAAAATTATTCAAAATCTGCATTACTAATTTGTTTACCAACAGAAAATATCTTGTTTGAAGAATAAAATAAACTCACCTGTTTCAAATCCGAAGCACACCTGAAATCAACAGGAAAACAACCTGTTTCACCGATTTCACCAAATATCCTCACATATGCAACAGGTTTTTCTAGAAATCGTTGTTCACGTGAACTTAGCTTAATTTTCCCTTCGTAGGAAAATACTGCAAAATGAGAAGAAAATAAAAGTTTCAAAACAATTGGTCAAAATAAACATCCCTAGTAATAAATGAGGTTATCATAACAGTGATCGCCTGTAAATTTTTACTTCCATATCACATTGCAATAGACCCAGCATACTACTCTTAGATATTTGATGTAAAAAATCGAAAATTACCATTCAGTGGTTCAAAAGCTGCTCGGAATACTGGAAATTCTCTGAATGGCTGCGCATTTTTTTCATCACAGCCAATCTTCAACCATTTTCTCACATATGATACCATTTGTTCTTCGGTATCCAAATCTTTGAGTTCAACATAATCCAAGTAATAATCCGGCATTTCACCATTTCCATCAATTTCAATTCTCACCTTTAGTAGATCACCAATTTCACCGAAATCCACCTACAAATTGTATAAAAAAAATTTTTACAAACTTATAAAGTTCTAAAGGAAGTTTCTCAAAACACTCTTCTCTTCGAATAAAAAACAAACTTCGAAGTTGAAAGACAAATATTACTAAAATGAAATTAAAAAAGAAATATCAAAAATTACTTGCACAAGTGATGCTGATGGCACCTTTGCCATTCGATTGTCATAAATTTTTGTTCTCATCGAACTACCGTGGTTACCATAACCCACAATATTCAGATTTGATGTAGTCGCACCGCTACCATCATCTTTTCCGGAATGCAAGATAAACTCCCAGCGACCACCTACAAAAAAAGTGTTAATTTCTGTCTTATGAAATATTTCACGGATAATATCGTATCATAATATTTATCTTATTATTTGGGGCAATCATATGTCAATATACAAATATATGGATAAGTTGTTCAAAACCCATTATGTCATAAAAGTTTATCAGATTGATTAGTATTGTTACGATAAAAGCAAACTAATTAAACATTCAAACCAAATATTTATCTGTCTATAAATCTGAAATTCTTTAAACTTAGATTTTATCTTGAAAACTTAAACTGCAAAGCCTACTTGTAAGTCTAGAATCGTGCAAGATAGTAGTAAGATAGCAAAAAGCCGTTGTTTTTAATGTCCGTTCAATTTTTCCATCCACTTGACCACTGTCTAACCATTTGGCACATTGGAAAAGATATTGTCGTCCGTCAGCAACATTTTCAGTGACCAGAACACGTTCAATGTATATGCCAATTCCTGAACTTCGCAATTTTTGAAATAACATAAAACTTCAAATTAAAATATTAACAAATTTCTTTTTTAAAAAAAATTATCCCTTATTACAAGCATGTGAAAAGAACATACCGTAACCAATATGATCATGTCCGATGACAATTTTTTGAAGTAAGCCAAGTTTTGCTGTTTCAATGTGAAAAGAATCCATTTTGTTCTGTTGAAATTTTGGTTCATGTGTCTGTAACCAATTTATATACTGAAAACATCGCTTTTTAATTGCGAATCGTTAGAAGAATGTTCACATTCTCTCTCCTAATAAAAAGTAAATTCAATATATGAATTGGTTAGTGGTAGAAAATGGCAGCACCGATTAAGTTTTGAACTGTCAGTAATTAATTAAAACATCACTGTTTCAATAACATTCAATTTATGATTAATGATGTAATTGTTAATCACTGCCAGTACAATTTTGCTGTTACAACATTGCAATATAATATTATTGATCGATTTTTTTATAACTTATTTGCTTGATTAACTAATAATTGACCAAATTGGCCAGCTTTAACTGATTTTTATAATTTCCAATAAACAGCTCGCTATCTGATTTGATCTATCATAGATATAAGAAATTAGCTCACGTCTTGTCGCAGTAGGTGCTTCTCGCTTGTATTTAAATCACCATGTAAAATAATGAACAAATCGAGATCTGTATCAGCCGCCCAACGATTTCCAGTAATTACCGATACAGCGTAAGTCATACCTCAAATATACTTTATTTAGCAACTGTTTAAACAGTGGCATCGAATATTGGTGAACTGATTTAGAAGTGTTGATGGTTTTTAGATAAAGCCAGCAATGGTAACAATTTTTTAGGCCCTCAAACAAAATGAATTCCGATCAAACCATCTTCTTTTGTACTGAGCGAAAAATCAGCTTCAGGCGCAGATGTATTGATTGTTTCATCGTTATCAGATAGATCATTAGATTTTGCAAGCATCAGTTCCGGAGCATCTTTCACTGCCGAATGTCCAGTATCCGCAGTGCTTACCTTTCGTTCTTCCACTGTCTTATGTTCTTCAACTACAATTGCTTCAAAATTGAAGTGCCTCAACAATGAAAGTCCAATCAATTTGGAATCGTTTAAAAATGAAAATTCAATTAAAAAACTTCCGAAATCTGACTTTCCTCACTATTTTGTATTAATTCTTCTTTCTTCGCCTCTTCTTTTTCACTTCCTGTTCTACTTGTTTTGCTTTCCTCTTCACTCTTTTCTTCTTCTTCCGTTTCCTGTTCATTTTCCGTTTTTGTTTGTTTACTTTCGGATGGCTCTTTTGTTTGAGTATCATTTGCTGCAAGCTCGTCGTTTTCGTCAGAATAGCTTTCGGCATTTTGAAGCACTGTAGCTTTCTCGGGTGTCTCCGACGACCTTTGTGAGAATGGTAAGACTGGAAGGTGTTGTGAAGCTTCTAACGAATCTAAAATTATTTATAGAAATTTGATGACTTTTATAAATTTTCATGCCCCACAATTTTTTATCTGAAGGCAAATTTTGAAAAATTTTAAAAAGCCGAACTTTTTTCCATTTTATTTATCGATGGTGCATTCTTTGATCCGTCGCTTTCTCTTCTACTCAGACGAGACATCGAAATTAACGGCATCATTTTACTATTACTGACAACTCGTTGAGGTCGCTCAATTGATTTCTCCTGGTAGATTGATTGGATTGGTTGCTTTGCTGCAATATTACTTATTTTAATCATTACGGATTTATCCATGCAAGAGAAATTAATTAAAAGCGTTGCTAAAAAAGTCATAGGTTCAAAAACGATATCTTAAAATCAGTATGGAATATATTTTTTACCATATCGAAAAACTGAAATGCTGGATTTAAGAGTTATATTATTTAGCAGAACTCCCAAACTTGATTTAATACAAAACTAACCGATAGTAGGTTGTCTTACAAGACTTGATGGTGTCCTTGAAATCGATGGTAATGGCGCTATACCTACTGGAAATATGCTTTCCCGAAACATCGGTCGTTCATTTCTCGGTACAGCAAGTAGTCGAGCTTCATTTAATGAAAAAATTTCATCCATACTTATTATCCTCTTACCAGAATAAGTATACAGTTTGAAAATTGCCATCTAAAATATTTGTGATCTAATAGAATTGATAGGATTTATTATTGTAATTTTTTCAATCCTAAATTAGCTAATTAGTAAACATTGGATCGGAATAGATACAAACAGTTTGATTTGGATTAGTATCTGCCTTGTACCTCTGCCTATCTGCCTTTTTCAAGCAGGTATAGTTTCAATTAATATTGAATCAATATCATAAAGTGCGCAATTTTCTTCATAATAAAGACTTTTTTTCACCTGTAAACCTTCTGAAACTTCCTTCAGCAGTGATTCGATAGTCTGTTGACGAAGAGGATTCAATAGCGCCCGATAGATTCTCGAAGGTTTTCTATTCAATACAAAAAATATCTAAAAGAGAAAGATTAATGTTTGTGAGAATGATGAATTAATTAATTTATTTATTTATTTATGTCATTAAGCATAACAAATCTACGACTTACTATTTTTCTTCGTAGGATTAACAAAAAATCGTTGAAGGATAGTTGCCAAAGAGATCAAATGAATTAAAATCATATAAAATTAACGATATTACACAAATATTTTTTATCTTTCAGTCTTTTTTTACTAATACAAACTCTTCAAAGTTGGAAGTTTTGCAAGGCAAATTCAAGTTGAAGTTTATATTATTAAATAATCGAAATTAATAATAATAAGAAAAGAAATAATGAAAAAAGAAATGAACCTGTTTGGAGGTTGCAAGATGTGCTGATAATTTCGGAGGTATTTTTGCGCGTTCATTTTTGTTTTGCTGCAAAAATGCGACGTTTTTTTCAGAAAAAAAAACAGAAAAAATTAATTAGCAAAATTTTTTGTTAAGTTTGATTTCAGTGCAACAGTGCAATTATTAACTTTCCGATAGTTAAACCAATTATTGCGATGATTAAGAGGGGCATGTATCCGATTAGATTGACGAATTCGCTGTATTTTTTCGACCATCGATAGATTCAACGGTCGTGGAGTTTTGAAAGAGGATGCTATATATCTAAAACATATGTCTTAAATTCATCGATAAAATGATTAGCTAATTTTAACGATAGATAACAGAGATTTTAATTAATTTTATTTATATATATATATATAATATTTTGAATATTTAATGTCCATTGGACTTAAATGGTACTATATACAAATGAGATTGCATAAGTAAAACAAAAAGGTTAAGTAAGATTAACCTTGAAATATCATATTTTATATTTTCTTTTTCTGATAGCAAGTTGCACACTTGCCAGTTCGCTATTTTTCTTGTCTTAAAACTTACTTTAAATAATGGATTTTCAAACTATTAAGGACCTCGCTATTGATGAGATCATGTCGTAAGTATCCAATCTTGCTTATTCACATTGAAATTTTTACTGACACCTTTTTGGAATCTAAATACTTAGTGGTTGAACATTTTTACCATTTCGCATATCTAAGCGCATCATTCATCTCAAGGATTATTTCTTCTTATTATATTATCACCGTTAATTTTAATACTTACACTCATATATTTGAATGTGAAATTTACTGCTCGTTATACTCCCGACTAATCAGTCTTAGCAATTTTGCTTCTGACTCCCAATACAGATGTTGAGTAGAGGCGAGTAACAACATAACTAACCGTCCATGATGCTGTAATTGATCTATATTTTTGATGATCGTTTTTCCACGTGGCGTCGTTAAATGCCGTACACCAAATGGCATCGAAATATTGCTATTCAAATCATCCAACAATGAATCAATAGTACGATATCGCGCTTTTGATACTGGCACTCGAAGTCCCTTTATATTGAATTTCAAAGGAATTAAAAATGTAGCTAATTTGAAATAATACAATTTGAATTTTTGAAAATTTTTTTTGCAAAATATTTAGGTTAGTTTTTTGTAAAATATTTTTTCATTTCTATGGTAAAAATTCCAAATAACTTACTCCAAAATAAACATCTCCTTCCTTGTAAAAGAATACTGTTTTGGCAGAGTATGGTCGAGTGAATGATCGATTTGAACGGTAATTTTGAATATTTCTATTCATTAAATTGGGTATATTAGGTGGCGCAATGTCTGGAGTCGAACGATGATCAAACGTAGAACGTGATGAAGACTAAAGATGAATCTAAATTATTATCAAGAAGACATTTCTTTTTTAATTATAACATTTCAGATTTTATCTGTTTTATCTTTATCATTCTTTCTCTACAATTTTCTTGCATTTATTGAAAAGATAAACTCAGACAACAATATTTTCGCTTATTTGGAAAAGTATTCACAGTGAATTTGAATTTTTTTAATTTAGAATGAAATTAATAATAATTTTTTATCTGACTTTCGAACAAATGAATGAATGATTTTTGGAAGAAACTGAGAGTGTATCGGAATATATCGGGTTGCACAATGGGGAATCAAATGAATTTCTTCCATTGTCTTCTTGTTATTGTGTTCAATTCTTTCTTTGTTTATGCGTTAATATGAAAGGCTACTAACCCAAAGTACCGTGGCATCCCCGTTGTCTGGGCCACTCATTTTCCTTTCTCCTTGCTAGTTTAAAATAATTATAGTATCTTTATTGAACATCGCGTGCATATTTGTTTGAATGTTCTAGAATTTGTGTAGTCTGAAAATTGAAAAGATAGCTGAAAATGCAAATTGTATATTTGATTAATGGAGAGGAAGGATTCAATAAATAAATATCGAAAGAAATTTCGTGGTAGGATTCTTAAAATAGAATCAGAACACTGCTGAATCAGAAAAGAAATCAAATCAAAAATAGTTTAAAGCAAATTATTAACATTCTAAAAACAAATGAAAAAATATTTTAAAAAAATGGATGGTTTAAAATCTCTTTTAAAAAAACCAAAAATAAGGTACATTTAACAAAAAATGCTAAATAAATAACAAGTCAAACAAGTCAGTGAAAATTAAATTTTGGAAATATGTTCTACGATATTATTCGGACTAATTTCCAGAATTAGTAATTCATTTTAAAAAAACAAAAAAATAATTTATTTAAATAGTTAAAAAGCATTAAGAATTGGGATAGTATAGCAATGTATAATAAGTACATCTATCAAAATAAAATAAGAAATTTCAAATTAAAAAAACATTGAAATTAATTCGAAACGCTGTCACGTAAAATTCAAGAAAAAGTTCATATTAAGCCTCATAAATAAAGTTCTTGTAAATCGATCCACTAATTTATTCAGGATTACCTGATATGAATAGTCATTATGCCATTATACAAAAAATTGATGATCATCTTTTCCGATCCGACAACAAAATTGATAATAAAAAATTGATGTTTCGACAACAAAGAAAAATAAAATGAGTCAGCAAAATTTTTTCAATATGAAACTTTTGGCAAATAATTTCCATTTTTAAATTTCATTCATTTGTGTTTGAAATTAATTTCAAATGTTTTATAATTTGAATTTATCAATATTTTAATAATTTATTCCTACAAAAGCGTATTTCATCAGAATATTTCCATCATTTATTTTATTCCTCAATCAATCTTCAATCAATTCATTCTCATTCGAATTACTTATACACTATAATTCTAAAATGTATCGATGAAATCTGTCGACAACTTCTTATTCACTTATTCAATTCATATAATTTAGTCATATCTCTCATTTCAATTCATTCCATTTTTTTTGAACTATAGTTGAAATTTAAACAAATGTTCCATTTGTTTGTTTTTCTTCTATTAATTATTATCAGAATTATTTGTGTTCTCTTTTGAATGAGAATTTTCCCACTCTAATTAATCAAATTATATTTTGTCCATTTAAAGCAATCTTTTACAAATATCTAACAAAAATGATTAATGTAAAGATGACAATTTACAACAAATTAAAAATAAGTCAAAAATTTTTTTCCTAACTTATCAATGTTTACTAAAATAATATTAAAAATTTGCAAGAAATAAAATAAACTGTCTGCAAACAGAATAATAAAAGAAAGCAAAAAGATCAAGAATGACGTCAATAATTACGAAGCTTATTATTTCAGGCTTGCTTAGAATAAAATTATTTATTCATCTTTTAAGGCTATACTTTCATGCTTACCTATCACTGACGTAAACATAGTAAAATAATAACAAATATGGATTACAAATTTTCCTTATCCAAGAAAAGGATCCTATAATTAAAATAAGAGTGCTAAAATAAACTTAAAAAAGTATTCCGAAAGGATCGGAAGATCTTCCATTTTAACTACAAAATTTCAACTTCGCATCTTTCTGGAGAGATTCTCTATTATTAAGCGAAAGAGAAGTCAAGTTTTATTACCAGGATATATATATATATATATATATATATATATACATATATGTGTGTGTATACACATATACACACGCACATAAAAATGTACACGTCCTTCATTGCTCATTAACGTCGCTATGGAAACAATGTTTTCAACAGGTAAGAACTAAAAGATGGGAATTTTATATCACAGATTAAATGTTAAAATCTTATTAAACATTGAAAATTATTGCTCATTGCAACGGATAATCATTTCAAAAAGGTTGAAAAATATATGCCATTTCACGGGATTCGATCATTTATTGAATATTGTTGTTGACAACACTTTCACAAAAGTTAAATTCAACAAAATTATTGGCTCTATTTATAATAATAATAATAATAATAATAATAATAATAATAATAATCAAATGATTCTAATCATTTTTTAATTGATTAAATAAAATGAATAAAATTTGGAGTTTTTTCGAAAAATTTCATTACTTATTGTATGTAATTAACATTTATGGAAATCATGAAAATATCACAAAAACTTCAACATTTAAATTTCTATTAAAATAACAATAAAATAATTCAATGAATAAATTCCAAAGGTTAAGAAGTGAGAAATTGTATTTCAGAGAAGCTTGATGTTAAGGTTTTTGTAGTAAAGTACCATGAAATGTCAAAAAAACTATTCGATATCAATGCTTATCTATTAGTGCAACATTTCTTCATTTAATCACTTTATGCTTATATCACTATTCCACTTACTACTAAATAGTTTTCACTTGATTTCAATTCAGTCTTTCTAACAAACAAGATGTCTTCTTTTTACATTCATATGCATTCAATATGTGTATTTGTTTATTGTGGTATTATCATTCATTATCATTGGATGATAAATTTTGGGTATAAAAGAGAGAAAAAAATAGCCGAAGATTTTTGAAAGTTTATCATAATAAAGCTGTTAAAATACAATAATCGTCCATAAATATTTGAAAAGTATATTATCTTTCAAATAATTATAAGAAATTTTTGTTAAATATTTCGACTAAATTATCATTAATAAGTATAAAATTTTTAATTCTTTATACGAAAGTTAAGCTCTAAGTTTCGCAATTGCAATAATTTGTTGCTACTGCGCAACAAATGCAATCACTATGAAAATGATTATTAGTTGTTTCTCATACTCTATCATTGATATTCTTTGAAATTATCTCTGAATGAACAGATCTATGTAAATAAGAAGTTTGTTGCAATTCAGGGACAGTTGACTGTTTTACTTTTCCAATAAGTAATATGAATAAAACAGGTATAGATATGGTATTTGTATCAGAATAAAAATTTTAAAATTTAAATTTTATGTAAAATTTAACATATAAGTGATTATTTGATGAGTATAGAATCAGAATAGCATTAAGTGCAACATTTTGGTTTATGGTGCAAATCATATGACAGCAATGAAGTGAAGTATACTTTTGAATAAAATGTAAATTGAAATCGTATATCAACGATCAACACAAACGATACTGGCATCATTTGTATCATTACCGAACTGCCATAGCATTTTGCTTAAAAATATTCAAAATCTTTTTCAGTGAAATGTGAACTTTTGCATCGTCAATTGTACGATAGAAAAGAAAAATGATATTATCAGTTTCAAATATATCTCCTAATTTTGATTAAAGTTTTGCTAGGAATTAGATCGCAGAACAAAACTTCTAGATTTAGGAGTGATAGAAAAGAGATGTGTTGTGAATATGATGGAATTTACTTCCCCCTGTCAACTCTATAACATTCAAATGTGTTTTAAAATAAAGGTATGAAAAATTATCAATCAAAGAAAGCAATTATATTTTTTAGATTTAAATTATAATATTGTTAGATGAAAATCAAAATAATTCATTCAATTTAGAATATAATAATTTAATCAAAATTTTACTCGTTAGATTTTAATTTCAAAAAATTCGCTAACTTTATATTATGCAAAAATGTTGGTAAATTTAGTTTAAATAAAATAGAAATATACTATTGTAAAAAATTTTAAATCTATAAATAACTTTAAATTAGAATCAAAATGTAGCATTTTCTTTATTTCTTTCATTAGCATATATGTTGAGATGGTCATTTTTGATAGGTCATTTTGATAGAACAATAATATTTTCGAAGGAATGGAAGCTTAACATAAGTTAACATAGCACCAGAGAGCATAACTATACTGATGACCATCAATGACATTTAATCTTTTAGCATTACTTGGCAACAGATAGCACTATCCTTATCGGATGGTTTCAAATTACCGCATGCTTTCTCTACAGCACCAAACAGCACTTTTCACACTCAGTTATGGCATTTTTTTTTTTGATAATAAATTATATTTAATTGTGGAAAAATACTCATGAAATTAAGCAAAAGAATTATTGGATTAGTTCAAAATGAAATGTCAGATTTTAAAAAAAACCGTAGTCCACAATGGAAGGATCGATATTATTGGGAACGTCAACAGAAAGGGAAGTGATACGGTGGGTGGTGGTAAAAAGTGAAGGAGAAATTTTGATAGTCTCCAATCTATTCCTCCAATTGCAACACTTCTCCATAAGCTACCATAATACCAGTGAGATTAGTTTTCACTTACAGCATGCTAACATTCACATAAACTAAACTATCAATCAGCCATTTCCAAACATTCCGCTCATTCACGTATATCTAGACATATCATTCATCAGTCATATCACTTTTCCTATGGCCCAACATTCACAAAATTTCCTACCAAAAATGGAATTGAAACTTTCACCCGCGACATCTCAACAATCTTTAAGGTAAGATTATGTAATCTGTTGAAAATGTGTATTTATTTACATAAAAGAGCATATTGTTTAGGTTGCCAATGCAATATGGGTAATTATCCGTTGAGCCGTGTTTGTATATTAGTTTTTAACCCAAATTATGTTTATTCCTCAATTTTCTGATAAATTGTTTAGGTTTTTAAAAGCATTTTAATTTTTCTTTTTATGTAAACATGATTTTCGTCATTTTTTCTTTATTTTCTTGAAACCTCCAGTTTTGAAAACAATGCAATTGTTAATTTTATCTGAATAATTAATTATGCATATTAATAGAATTAAATTGCTCGCAGTACTGGTGCAAACGTACAATATAATATATACGAACTGTTAGTTGCACATGGCTTGAAATTGACAATTTTAATCGACATTTTTGAATTAAACTTTTATTCAAATATTATAAATTTCAAAAGTAATGCATTTATTATTAAAATATTACTGCATTTCATTCGTCCCACTTGGCAATGATTTTGAATTTTCGTTTTAATTTCAGTAACTAATTTGAAATGATCTTTTTGAATTTGCTAGAAACCATGAATAAACTTATCTAAAACCATATAAGTGATTATCTTTAATTTAGCTAGTAAGTAGAGATTTTGGTTGGCAAGAAATTATAAACTTATCGCATAAAAACATTACACTTTAAGCACTGCTATTCTATCACTTGATTTTAATCGAGCTCTTAAATTTTTAGATTTCTTGCATTCGAAATTTAAATTTCGCCAAAATCTGAAGTGTAGACTTTTTTTCAATTGTTGACAAATACCAAAATCTATCCGTCTTATGTCACTTTCAAAATGTTTTCCTTGTAAAATATCAATTACTAATTGTTCATTTTAATACATTTATAGTGAGCCAATTTCCAATGCGCTTGGACCATTGCAATTTAAAAGTGAAGATGAAGATGAGAAAAGTATTGTTTGTCGACGGCGGAGTGGTAAACGGCAGGAGAAACCACCGTATTCCTACATTGCTCTTATTGCTATGGCAATACACGCGAAACCGGACCGGAAAGCGACACTTACTGAGATTTACTCTTTCCTCCAAAGTAACTTCGACTTTTTCAGAGGTCCATTGGAAAATTTCGATTCTTGCCACCTTTTTCAAAAAAATTCTTACAAAATTATTTAAGCTTGTTCGATAATTGAGTATAGCGTTCTGATACAAGGTTTCGGTCCCTCGATGATCAGCTAAAAAGACGCAAGAAATTCTATTTAGAAATTTTAACAATTTCATTTATCTTTCTTGGACAATATTGGGAAAAATTTATTTTTCAAATCGCTAACTTCGTAGTCTACTGATTATTTAATCAAGTGTCTCAGTAGCATCGTTGGCTTATTTATCTACTTCATATCAGTTCTTATTCATCAAATTTCAGGAGAATATAATGGTTGGAAGAATTCTATCAGACATAACTTATCACTCAATGAATGTTTTATAAAATTGCCAAAAAGTTCTGGTGGTAGAAGCGGTAAAGGGCATCAGTGGACGATTGATCAAAATTGCGAATTTCTCTTTGAAGAGGGTTCATACCGGAGACGACCGCGAGGTTATAAAGCTCGTGTACGAAATTGTGACTTTACTAATGAACAGGTGTGCTAATTAATTTATCATCTCCCAAATTCTCCACAAAGTGAGAGGAAGAGATCAAAGGAATTTTTTTCTATTCTCATACTTTTATTTTCAAGTTTCTGACATACGCCCAAAAATTTAAAGAGTTACTTGCTGGCTTTTCAGTACTAATCAAATCTTGAAAAAAAACTTTCAGTTGGAACCGATGTTTGTTGAAGCCAATACAATGCCTATTAATAACAATTTTCTTGCCGTTGATGGAACACATTTTGTTACACAACAACAAAACTATCTATCTCAATATACGACAAATCAATTTTGGCCTCATTATGAATATGCAAATCAGTGGTCAAATAGCTATGGATTATCTTCCTCAGCAATGAATAGCTATCCTATGTATGACAGCGTGCAAGCATTTGCACAACAGCAACAAACTGATTATACGGAAGGTTGTCCAGTGATTATGATACCAAATGATTTATCAGCTGATCCAGATAATTATGTTGATGAGCAACAGCATATTAATTTGCCACAATTCGCCACTTCTTCACACTTGTGTAATCAATATGCAAATTTATCATCACCTGATCGAAACACATGATTTTAAATCTTTTAAATTGTGATTATGTTAAAAGCCGTTTAAGTTTAAGAGTTTAAGGCTTAGGTATATTTCGCATTTCATCCTGTTGAATCCATTCTTTTACGTAAAATGAAATTATCAGTAGATATTCAGGAAAGTTTTAGAATGTTTATTGTTCTAATAATGGGTCATTTTTATCATATCAAGAAATTTGAAATTAGAAATGAAATGTAAAAGATACATTGAAAATGAATATTGAAACAGAATGAAGCGAAGTTTTCATTTGATGGGATATTTCAGTAAGAAGCGCTATTTTATAATGACTATGTTAACCTTCCTGAAGTTCTTTTCCTATCTCAATTAAAAGTTTTGACTAATTTAAATTAATATTAATTAATAGAATAGATGATAGTATCAGCGTTAAATGGTAATATTCGCAGTAAAATTGATCAATAAAATTTTCTCAGAGTACTTCGGTAATTTTAATTCTTTAACAAGTAATAAGGGAAAAGAAATCATCTTGTAATTCTTAATTTTAAAGCAAAATTCATGCATGTGTATTAATCTTACCTTTCTCGTTCTTACCTTTACTCATTAATAAAAAAATTAATAAAATATGTTTAATGCATTTGAAATTTAGAATCAGCAATCTGTTGTTATTATTATTAAGTTTTTATTTATTGTAGTTGTACAGTTGTATTTCCTTCTTTATATTTTTTTTTGTATTTTTCTTTCTTGAAAATTGAATTGCTTCAAATGACAGTTGACAAGTTCAACTGTCATTTGTGGAAAATACTGAAGACAATTGGCCATTTCAATCTAATACGATGTGGTAACTATAGCTTATTACCCCAAGGAAATTGAACTTTCTGCAATGCTGAATGATATTTGAAGCAATGAATATTTAGCACTCAAATTACAGAGAAAGTCTGAAACTATAGAATCTACAAAAGTAGAGTCTATTGAATTAATGATTCTTGTAAAACAAGTTGTCTGACAAAGAATAGAATTGAATTCGTCCTTCTATATTTACTCGCCCAGGTTTACTTTATATTGTTACTTTACTATACAGCCCTTAGAGCCAAATGAAATTTTTTTTGTGATAAAAATTGTTTGCAAATCAACTAAAGAAGTAAAATTATTGAAATCATATCACTCAGAATTCGGAAAGGATATCAAATCCTCAATGGTCCTTTGCAGTTGAGATATAACTTCCTTTATTCCTAACAAACCTTTCACCTGTTACTTTTGAAACTAAAAGTTGTTGATCATCAGACAAGTCTTGAAATGAGTTGAATGATCGTTTCGGTAAACTTCTCCTGAAATTTAATTTCCTGAAAACATAGTCAAACGAAATACATTATTGTAAGGAAATGTCGGACTTTTTATATGGCCGAACTATAAGAAATAGTAAACTTAAAAATATAAATGTAGATTTCGGATTTAAAAGAAAAGACAATCTTGCTCTGAATTCTATTCAAATTTTATACAGAACCGGACATCTACAAATACGATAGAAAATAAAGAAAAAAAGAGATCAGATTATGATAATACTGATAATAAAACACTCTATCAATGATAGAAAGAGGTCAGAAGTCTTCTCATCAAACTTTCCTCACATTACTTCTCCAAACACCTAACTATTGCGCAAAATTGAGCGCATCAACTATCCGGTTTCATTTTTCAGTAAGAAGATCTCTATTATCTTTAAATATTGATCTACTTTACTCAAGTACTATTGTCAAACCAGTGAGGTACTTATTCATCATTTTATTTCTTAGTGGTAGATTTGAATTTTTTAAAGTATAATCTTACTTGCGTATGGTGGAATCAGGAATAAAAACTGGTACTTTCTCAAATGCATCAGTATTGGAACATTTAGCTAATAGTAATAATTCCCTTTTAAGATCGAATGAAAAATAACCATAAAGGTATGGTGAAATTGCAGAATTAAATACAGCAAATGTGTAGAGCAATTTTCGAATAATAGTTGGTATGGGACTAAAATTTTTTCTATTTATCGTTTATAAAAATCCTTCAACGAATGTATTTTTTCAAAAAAGTTCCAGATTTTAAAATATAATTTTAAAAAAACTCAGTGAAATGCATTGCAGCGGTCATTCAAATCAATTATTTCTTTATCATTTTTCTGGATGTAATGAAACAGCAATAATATATTTCATCTTTTTAAGATGCAAAGAGTTTAGTAAAGAAAGACACTTAACCTTGGTTTTATAGTGAAGTGAACTAATGAAGCGACCGCATAAGGTGTCCAACACAGCAGAAATGCAGATACCACCACAAATGTCATCCTCAACGTTCTACTTTTGGCACGAGTATAATTTCTACCAGAACTTCTTGAAGTGCTAGTAAATCTTGAATTTGATTCTAAAAAATTTTCATTTTTTTGTTTAGAAATTTGAAAGAAAAGGATATGATAAAGTTAATAAAAACAAAGAACAAAAATTCAAGGAAATGATGCCAAATCAATTATTTCTATGCAATCATCGAGTGACGAAAATATTGCAATTAGACGGAAGAGTTTGTTAATTGCTGTAAGGATGAAATAGTTCAGTTTCTTCTCTATAAGTTCACCAAGTAGGAGAATTGAGAATGATCTTCAAATGATAAAAACTGCAATAAGTCCTTTTGATCTGATCACTTCTGAACTATATGCTTCATTGATCTCATATTCATGAGAACGACCGCATGAATGTTAATCACATTTTGCAGTATTATTATACATTCGTTTCTGTAAATTTTCAAATCACAACAATTCACTTGTTCAAACTAACGGGTTTCAAGTATTTTAGCTTCAGTTTTGGAAGAGATTTTGTATAATATGAACGAATAGCAGGCAACCGTTACTATTAGCGGTAATAAAGAAACCTGAAAATAAAAAATTAAAAGTTAATTAAAAGGAAGTAATTGAAATGGATTAATCAACTAAATCGAAGTTAAATCAAAATAAATTAAAATGAAATTGAAATGACAAAATTAATATAACAGTTATTTTCTCCCAATTTTTCCCTTTTTAGCTAATGTTTTTGTAAACTAAAAATTTATTAGAAATTCAGAGACAATAAAATTCCAATTCCATTCTAAAATTTTCATTGCATTGGTGTTGAAAAATTTCTATTGTCGCACAACTAATGACATCTGGCGCATTTTATTTTCAATGCGCAAAATTTTTCTTTCTTTTTCCATAAATAGCGTCAAATCTAATGGAAAGTTTTTACTAAAGAAATATATTATATAATGCCTAAAACTTTAAAGTAATATGAACGAATTATCATCCATGCTTTAATAATAACTGAAATTAGGCGCCTTTATCAATTTCAGATAAATAATCTGAAATTGATAAGAGCACCTAACATTCAATATCCAAAGTTAAGGAAGGCTCTTTTGAATCGATTAATCGAAGAGCAATAGGAAAACAAGCCAAAATTGTAATGAATTGGAATGATTATTGCTGAATAATTTGCATGTTATATGAAGAGTATATAATATTCATGCAATCTATAATATAATATTCATGCAATATACAATATTCATGTCAATCTCTGCGGGAAAGCCAATCCTTAATTGCTATTTATTAATTAGCCTAGAATTTGAGGAGACTCATCATTGAAAACAATTTAAATTTTTTAACCACAAATTTAAAACAGCCATATTGTCAAATAACTGAGCGTACCTGTGTAAGATTAGCAATGGTATAAGCGAAAATAACATTATGTGATACAGCACCAACAAAATCACCTGATACACACTGTATAAACCATTCTGCGCATGGATGAGATGACGTGCGGAATATGACAGCCTAAAATTGAGCAACTGTATAAATTGCTATGAAAAAAATTTTATAAATTGCTATGGAAAGAAAACTTTTGTAAATTTTGCTATGGAAAAACTTTAATTCAATTAGATTTCTTTTGAGTTCGGAAATTAGGAAAATAATTTCATTTTCAAAAATAATTTAGTAATATGGATGAACCTCAAAAATTAATCACTAATTTTGTTCTTGAGCAAAATGAAAAAATTCAATAAAAACAAAATAAAATTGGAACTTTTAAAAAAGATCAAATCGAAAAATTTAGCTTAAAAAGATTTCTTGTATGATCATACCGCCGGAACACTTATCAAGAAGCTGATAATCCAAGCAGTCGTTATCATCCTATGTACTGATTTTTTAGCATTTAGTGTATACAGAGGCGAAAATATTGAATAAAATCGATCGAAACTTATACAAATTAACATATTTGCTGCTAAACTATTGCCAAAGTTATCGAAAAATTTGCATATTCTGCAGAGCTGCAATATTACAATTACTATTTTATACTTTTGTAATTGATGTCAGCTGGCAGAACTTTTAATTTAATATTTGATCTACGGTCACTTTCAAGATGGTATATCTGGTATATCTTAATTTAATCTCTTTGTAATAAGAAACCATTGGCTGATCAATTGAAGAAATGATTTTTTGGAGAAAGCGATATTGACAGAGAGCATAAAGTAAATTTTCAAATCATTTTCAATTCTTGTTTAATTTTGAAAAATCAAAAATTAGAAACTAACGAAATCACCGCCCCACCAAGCGACTGTTATGCTATGTATTACTTCTTTCGGCATATAAATTAATGTAACAATGAGGTGCGCAATATTCATATGCAATAATAACGTATGTACTCGACGAATTTTGACACGTTGATTCCTAAAATATCTTCTTTAAGCTATTTATTGAATGATTACACGGTGACAATTCACTTACTGCATAGTGCGGGATAGGACTGACATCGTACCTGATCAAAATAAGAAACATTGTGCCATTGCCGATAAATGCGATGCAGAAACAAATGGAATAACAGATGAATGTAAAATAATGTATGGAAATTAATATTGCTCGTGGATGTGACCGAGGATCTGAGCAGTTTAGTGACATCTTTTCTAAATTCCTCTTCGTTTATTTGCTTACAATTTTGAGTTATTGTTAATTTCTGAAACTTTTTTTTTGATACGTAACGATATTATGCTAATTGAAAAATCAATGATAAACATAAACTAATCAAGTGAGTGAAACATTTAAATCGGAAAAATTTATCAAAAGCAAAAGTTGTACTTCAAACGGATTTCGAATAATCCTGATAAATTCGGTTAAAAATCAGTTCTACAGTTGGAAAATGCAAAGTTATACGTTATGGTATCATCTCATTCAACATATTCCTGATTGTAGCAGAATCTTCTTGAAGAATTAATATCTAAGCATTCTGTAAGATGCATAAGTTAATTTGCAAAAAATATCAACAGTAATTCTATCAAAACCAATTGTAATATTATGAGCAAAATTAAGCTTTAGTTCATTTCATCACACACTTTCTTCACGAGTTTATATATATATCGTTTAAAGGAGTATTGAAATTGTAAGGAATTAGAGTAATTAAAGATTCATCGAAGCCATTAACATCGTTACAAATTGGTAGGAATTTTGGAAACTCTTGATTATTTGCTGGCAAAAAAAATCCATACTTCTTAGTAACATTTCAATATCATTATTGAACATAAAATCTGCCACTTCTATTTCAATCATACTAAAACGAAATCTCTCATATCACTTCTTCATTTGAATAATTGTAATTAATAGAAATTATGGAGCAAATCTTACTTGAAATATTTGCTAAAAGTATAGAAAAACAATGAGGAAAAATAAGCTGTGAAGTAAATCTGTTGGGAAAATTTCATTTCAAATAAAATGTTGAAGGCATTCACGGCAATTAACAAAAAATGGAAAGTGGTATGAAATGAATGAGATAGGAGCAGCTTCATTTATTATGCTTTATTGCATTCATTTTCCCATTTCCCAATTCATTTCGTACTTCACGTCTGATTTCGGAAGTGCATTTTATAACAGACTCTTCTTTGGAAGGTTGGGATTTAGCATATTTCATTTGGGAAGAAAATAAAACCGTAATATTATCACTGCTATGACATTTTATTATATTTATTTTTCATTATGATTTGTTGACAATTTATTGATTATTTCATGAGCATATTTCATTATTGTTATTTTATAAAGAATCATAAGAGGAAACGAAACCTCTCACAAAGTTCTCTTTGCATGTGCAAATAAAAAAAATGAAAATAATAATTTTGAATTATTTCAGGAATTTCAAGAAAAAATTTTTGCTGCCATATTTTTACTGGATTGCATCATATTTTCATATTTTCTATAGTGAATCTCTTTATGATCTCACCATACTGTCTTCCGCACTTCAACAACCATTTTTAACTGAATCTTCTAATCATATAAATGATCACAGCTGTCACTTTCTATTCATATCAATAATTCACAGCATTTCTTTCAAAACTTCAATAGTTTCCTGTAATAAATGTTAATTAACTTCATTACTCATTAAGGGATTGTTTTTGCATCTGCATAAAATTACATCAATACCATTAACAATGCATTCGAGATGGAAAGTATAAAACAATTTAATCATACAAATATTTATTGAATAAGCCTAAAATATGATATGAGGAGCATAGAAATTTTGGAAATCATTATCCTTTGAAATTGCAGCAAAAAATTTAGAAAATTATTTGGTATGTTCATTTTATCATCAATCTTTTGATAAATCGACAAATGAACTTAACTTGAACATCTTCCGAGCTGGCAGATTTAATGAAAGTCATAAATCTTAATATAACCGGGCGAAAAAGCAATTTTGTTATTGTATGAAATTTTGTTTTTTCTTCAAATCAATTTTATTTCTGAAGATTTCAATAAAAATATAAAAATCTTTTCGTCCAATATCTATTTTAAGCCTATCTTTTCCATTTAAGTAATGACATGTAAGATCTAAGCCTATTATAGGGATAATTGTTACAGTATTAAGTAAACTCAACGTTAATAAATGTAAATTATAAGTAAGCGGCAAATGCATGATCTAAGAAAGATTAGAACTTCAAAGATATATTACCTTTTAATATGCTCTTTTGCGCTATATGAAAGAAGAGAAAAAATGGAAATCATAAACGAATAAAGACGTCATTTATCCTTCATACATCTTCTGATACGTTTTTTTAACGTATCTCTTCGAGTAAAATACATTAATCATTTTTGACTTCAAAAATATAAATTGTGAACTAAAAGGTCAGCTTCTTTAACCTTTAATTTTAATTAAATACAGTCTTGACAAAGACTCTTCATTACCGCAGAAATTTAAAAATACAAATTGGCTAATGTATCACATATATATAATGGAACAGCAGGACCGAAGCTCTCCTTCATAAAATCGCACTGTCAAGAATGAAAATATCTTGTCTATTTTTCACCAACAATGCATAAATTAAATTACAGAAAAAGTCAAAACAATCAAAATGAGCCTAATGTATATGCGGGAAACGGGAATCATCCCATACTAAATACAAATAATGTTATGCCTTTGAAGAAGTATTTAATAAAATCAGCTGAAACAAATTATTTGAATTTTTAGCATTTAAATGATTCAGGAATTTTTATTTATGTTTTTAATAAGCGCACTAATCAAAAATTCAGAAATTCATTAATTTTGATAAGATAAAAAATTGCAATAGATGGAATTGATGAAATTTCAACATTTTTTGCTTCTAATTTTTCACTCATTTTATCTAAATGACGAAATGGAAGAAAAACTTTGTAAATTTGAGGTTGAAATGAAATTATAAGTGAATCGGATTGGAAGATAAAACGCGCAATTTAATCCTCCAATGAAAGTTTTATAAAATTAATTCAGAGGATTCCGTCTTGATATCAGAAGCATTTAGAATATTTAGCATTTATAATAAATTTCTATTGGCAGTCCAAAAGATGCTAAGGCTCCCTTGAGGCTTGTAAGGCGTAAAAAGCTCTTGTAAAGCTCCCAATAAAGAATTACTACTCCGTCTTTATGGTACTTTAAAATCGGAATGAAGATGGGTCGGTAATGATTATTTGGAATGGAAAGTATTTGTCTTAAGCTATCCCATTTCCTCTTTTGTTGATTAGAATGCGGAAACATTTTGAAATCCAAAAGTTATTACAAAGGAAAGTGAAATGTGAAGGAAAGTTAACTTTGTTCAATTCATTTTCAATAATCCTTTAAAAGGATGCCAGCATATCGTTTAAGCAACGAAATTTACTTTGGTTATTCAAAAGTTTGGAAAAATTGAATTATGAAATGAAAGGTTTGCTATATCGAAACGACCAGCTCTAAATGATAAATATTCGACTATGAAGCAAACAAATATATCATTGATACATTGCAATGATTCGTCATGCTAATGCTCTCGTCAAATGTAAATTAGGTTTCCGTGAGATTAAATTCCTTTTTTTGTTATTCAAAAAAATGCTATATTGTGATCATAAATCAACCTTTTATTTATTTTTAATTTGAAAAAGGTTTATTTATATTCTAACAACTTATACATGCAATATATAGTATTGACGATCTCATGATTTTAGAATAGCACAGAGAACCGAGGAGAAAGTGTGGATTCATGAATAGCATATACAAAGCATAAATTTTCATGGAACAAAAAAGGCATGGCATATTCTATTACCACCAAAACAACAATAATATCTGTTGTCGGATATTTAAAAAACATAAATAATGTGTGAGAGAAAAACAACAATATATACATATTTATCATTTTGCTTTCTGTATTTCTAAAATGATTATCATATTTTATTTATCATTACTTTGGCTTCATTTCCATTAATGGTGCCAAAATTTCTATTTTGTCAGAAGGTAATATTGATAAGATTGATTGTTTAAAAGGTATTTTAAAGTGAAAGTTATATATCATTCTTGAAGGCAATGAATAAAAATCTTTAGGATAACTTATTGATATGATCAAATTATTGCATATCGTTAACAAAATTAATTAATGCGTAAATAAATTATAGAAAATAATTATGAATGGATTTGATTAGATTTAAATAAAATTAATGCATTGATAGAATAATTATAAAATAGATTTGGAAAGTTTCTATGAAACTTAAATGAATTTTTCTGGTAATTCAATAGTTTTTATCGTACTGTTGAAAAAAGTGTCACATTACGATGCAATAATGCTCACAATATGGAATATAAGCATTATTGTACCATAATGTGACACTTTTTTCTACAATAATGCAAGTCTGTCATTTTTCGAGCATAATTTATCATCGAACTGAGATATGAACTGTTAGTTCTTTAGCATTTCATTATATATCAAAAAGCCTTAACAATAATAGAATTTTGTGAAGCGATGAAGTTACGATAAAATTTCAATAAGAATTGTAATGATGGAAAAGTTGCGTGTCCAACGATTGATCATTTTGAAAGAGAAGAATAACTCATTCAAAATAATATTATGTGCTTATTCTTTAAATGTAACACAAAAATTTTATAAAAGACTGTCATATATTTTATATGACTATTATATAATGATAGTCATATAAGACAACATAGCTTTTATAAATTATATGATTATATGGCATGATAAAGCATTAACAATTAATTCATGTTAAAATAAGTAAACTTTAAGCGAATGAAATAAAAAATAATCAAATTTAAAATCTAAAGTTTGATTGCAATGTAGATGTTTGTATTGATGATAGATTTACTTCTGTCCAAAAGAATTTAATGAAAGGCCTTTTGTTTATTGCAATCATGCTATAATAAGCGAATTAGATCAGGCTTTCATCAAAATTCTTGTTGATTACAATTGCACTCAACATTGGGCTTCTTATATTGAGTCCAGTGGCTTGTAGACATATTTTTATTTTTCAGTAGAATTACCTGCATCTGGTAACATCGATGAACGAAAGTAGTCCAGCAAGATGACAAACAGTCTGTCTATTTGCAAAAAAAAAATGAACTATGATGCCCCGGTGATATTTGATCCCTTATCAGAGCTTTACATCTGATAAATTTAATCCTC